CTGTCAATGACGACTTCTCGCCGTTCCATCCGAAGTGGGGATGTACCAAAACCTCGATAACGTCTCCTCTTATACTACCATGGCTCCGACCTGAAACCTGAAATCTTGGGTCCTGACTCCATTGTCTCCATTAACGTCCTGTTTCGTGCGATCACCCGGGGATGGTTCGGAGAATGAATTAAAAAGCCCTAGGTGGGTTTGTTTCTGTGGCGTGGCTTCCCAAGCCATCGGACCTCCCGCCGGTGGTACTACCTATATGTGTCTCCACTTGGCGGGACCTATGACTACCAATTGACAGTCATCAGACCTTACACCGGATCATATCACACGATGAGATCGAGGATTTGCGGCGACCAAAAGGTCAAAGGCAGAGAGTGAGAAACCCATTCAGACAGAGGTGGAAACAGATTTCGCATTCATGACCAAGTTTCTTCGCAACTGAGGGCGATGTTCTCACCGCTCCTCTGAGCGCCTATATTTCGGTTACGTCTTCCCGGACCGAGGCTTAATATCAAGCAGTGCATAAAACTGGAGACGGTCGGCCCATTAATATCGTCACCGATGGTGACATGACTCATGCTTGAACTAACCCAAGTAAGATTTTATGTCCGTGACGCTAATAAATACTGCATAGTTCAGCATTGTCCCCACTTCCAAGGTTATTCCAGCCTTACGCTATGCTATCATTAAGACAAGTTTAGGGATATACCATCTAGTACAGATGGAGGAGAGTGTCTCAGAGAAACCAAAGCCTCCGGAGATGGAACGATTGGTCTCGATCCTTCAATATTTTAAGCGATTCTGGATCTAATCTAATTATGGATAATCTCTGCGCTCGGACAAGTGTGCTCAATCAATAGTCAAAGCTGGCAAAGCTCCAGTCAGTCTGGACTCTCCAATATCCTGCTTTACTGCGTTATCCAGTAGGGGTGTCAAGAACTACGAAGTATGTGGATTCTTTTACCTAAGTGGGCAAGGAACAGCAAGGAAACTATACCCGCGAGTCAATTTCGCGGGTTATTTATCTACAATTTTGTGCCCATGTATTGTCCATGGAAGGAGTACATGACGAGAAAGAGGTGCTACGAGACGATCTGACTGGTGAATGCATTGTGGGTGTGCTCTGGCTTGAGATAACGCCCGGGATGAGTTTCACGGGTTCAAAATCTAGGGCCTTTCAGACTACCACTTCAAATGATGATGATGATGAGATATTTTACGTAGAAGCTATTCCTTTATGAGAACAACTTCTTATTTGATCTTCTAATAATTGCTGATGGAACTCTTCATCGGGCTTGATCTCGGTGGGGGTCATTTGATATCACGTGTGGCATTGACATGGATGCATTTTCACATACACTATATAAGCAGAATAAATTATCAGTGTTTTTCATTGCAGTAACACAAGAGAACTTCACTTCGCCATGATGTTCCACCAGCTTGCCACAATCAACTTCCTAAAATGAGGCCATTTTCACGTGACCGATGATAAATGTCCTCACGTGACCAGCAAACAGACGCCATCCCTCGGCCCAATCATTGACGATGATCTTGACCTGATTCACGACATGGTGCAAGAATGCCCGGCATCAGTCTGATGTTATAAATCATCGCCCGTATATTTGATCGTTACTCTGGTATGCGCATGGTCTCAAAATGCTGCATGATGTGGCGTCTCCCGAAAAGTGGAGGACCTTCCTCCACCAATGTTTAGCGCATCGAGTAGATGTCGATGAGTTCAGAGACTTGTGCAAATTGATGCTCACGCGTTCTCCCATCGGAGAAGATGAGCTACTGGACATGCTTCTAGATGCGCGTGGCGCCTCCACAATCACCTGGGATCCACTCCTGCCTGTTTATGTCGATGGGCTTTGCAAGGCTGGTCAAGTCAAATCGTCTTCGGCGTTGACAAGCGTGCTGAAGCGCTCGTCAATTCGCGACAAAAATGAAAACGGAAACAATACTTCTACGCTTATGACCGATATAAAGGTTATCCAGGATGTCATGCTTTCTATCTCTACTGGGGCCATTCCACGGTCCATCAATGAGGCCGCGGAACTATACGCTGCGACTGTCGAGTGGATGTTTGCTGTTGTCTCATGGCATAAAAATAGCTTGAGCTCGCTCCAGCATGCGGGTGGCCTGATGAGTTCGCCTGATGCGGTGTCGTTAATTGAGTCGCTTGGCATTCTCCTGGCTGCACTCTCGGGTACCACCAAGGGTGTGGAGACGCTTTCTAGTGACTCTCAAAAAGGCGTTTTGAGGGGTTTAAAGCAAAAGCTGGGCTTGGCTCTTTCGGCCTATATTCCTCTTTGTGTCGATGTCTCGTTGCCCCTCCGACAGCGGCTGGATACCCTTCAGAAGGAGTTCAATTTATATGGGGAGCAAACGTCCAAGCCATTGGACCACTCCGCTATCGATGGGTTGAATGTGAATGCCCTTCAATTTGAGGCGTCCGTGATGGATGGTCCGACCATCAACACTAGAGCTGGCATCTATGTGTATTTGAATTCCATGCTCGCTGGGCGACCCTTGGTCGATGACTCCATGCTGATCAATTATCTCACAAACCGATATGAGGGCCACCAAGAGGTTCTTATTGAAGACATCATCACGGCCGCATTTGATGTTCTGTCCAATGGTGTCTACCGCAATGAATCGGGGCGGACAATGTTCTTGTTTCGCTCATTCCTAGTCAACAAGCTTCCCGCATTTTTCGCCGCTATGACGGCCGCGGCCATGGTTCCGATCAATGTGGAGATGTGCGTTAGTCAAGCATTGAGTCGACTAGACCCAAATTTGTTCCCCTCTTTCTCCCAGATGTTCTCGATGCAAGGAAACAGCATCCTCTCGGATGCCCGTCAGGAGTTCTTATTCGCCTGTGCATCTCACAGACTGATCCCTGAGTCCAGCATTGAACGACTTCTAGGGGAGAATCCGATGCAGACTTTGCCTGTCGGAGGTCCATATCAAAAAGACGATTTGATCTCACAAATCAACAGCCACCCCGACCGCGCCGATCAATTGATTGGCGAAATCGAGTCGATGGAAGGAAATGCTGGTGCAATTGTTGGTGCGATCACTGAGGTATGTGCGATCGGCGCTCACAATCACATCCTATAGCTAATCTGAATAGGTCATGTACACCCTTTGCCACGGCAGAGAGACGATCGCGTTGAAGGGTATCTGCAATGCACTCTCCCGGCGCCCCCAAGCCCTGGACGTCGTATTATTATTCAGAACGACGAAGCAAATTTTACAACCTCTCTGTACACTGCTAGACACCTGGCGATGGGATGAGGATCAAAGCGAGAACCAACCTGTTTACGATGAATTCGGCAGTATTCTCTTACTAGTACTTGCCTTCAAATACCGATATGACCTGAGCGCATCCGACCTTGGCATTACGAGCAACAACTCTTTCTTGTTGAGCGTGCTGGATCGAGGGTTTACCAGTCAGAAGCTCGGCGAGCTCAGTGACAAGCAGAACACTGATCTGGGTGGATGGATTGGCGCCCTGTTCATTGCCGAGGGTATTAATGAAGAGACTATGGCATCCTGCAGTCCGCAGGAATTTTATCTTCTCGTGGCGACATTGTTTGATCAAAGCCTTGGGGCATGCGAGTCTGGAAAGATTGACTTCGACACATTAAAGGGAGGACTTGAATGTAAGATCAATCACAACCACCGCAATATGATGCGCCATGCTAACATAGTTCCAGATCTTCTTGAGCCCTTCCTACTGCCATCCCTGGTGCTTGCTCTAACTTGGCTCGGTAATCACATCTGGGAGTCAGAGACTGATCCCACTATTCCCTTGAAAACACTATACTCTTTGGTTAAGCCAAGCTCTATTTCCGGCGAAGCCCAAGCCATCCATCACACCGTCCTCAGCATTACTGCTCGCCCTCTTGAAGAACGTTTGAAAGATGTTAGGACCAGACACCAGTCTCGCTCGGACATCAAACCGATCCTGGATGCACTGGAACCATACCTATCCTTCCGCCGAGTGGGTGCTTGCCACCGCACAGAGCTTGACGGCTGGTCTGCACAGACAGCGGGAGGCCTGCCAGGAAGCATCCGCAACACCCTACAGTCGCTGGTAATGTGGAGCGCAAATTCAGTGATAAATATGGCCCCACAATCCTACTCCCATCGCCAAATTCTAGCCGGAATCCGCCTACTCGGCGCTTCGCGCATCCTCGGTGCCTTAATAGATGAACTCAAACAGCAAACTGAGGCCGGCAGCGGTGATCTGGCCCTCGACATCGTCGCAGCAATCACCTGTGCACCGATGCCCGAGTCTTTCGCCGTGGACCAAAACAGCTGTCACCCCGTCGATCCGACCAAGGAAGCTTTACCCCGTTGCCAGATCCTGACTTTGCGTGATGTCCTCGCTATCCAGCATGATAACGTCCCCAAGATCTCGGAGAAGGATCCTCTACGTGCAGAGATCATTGTTCGTCTCTGGCGTCGCGTTAGCATGTTGACTACGCCCCCATCCCAGGTAGCGAACATCGATGTCAGTAACATCATTCACAACATGGATCTCGGCGTTGATGGTTCAGACCGCATGAATCTTGAATCCTCTACGGGTGTCGGCGGAGCTGTCGGCGACGAAGACCCAGAGAATATTAACCAAATGCTTGATAAAGCTGCTGCTGATGCTGCCGCTGCGGCAGAAATGGATGGTGGGTTGGGTCAGGACATGGGGCTGGACACAGGTACTGCCGGTATGGATGCTATTGACGATGTGCTCAACGCTGCAGATATGGCGGTTGGCAATCCCGAGTTCTTGGACTTGGACATGGAAGGGATGTTCTAATTAAATGGGGCGTTTACTTCGAATGAAAGATCTCCGTTATAATACACTAGAACTTCATTTGTTCCATTTGTTCCGTTCAGCATTCATCACGTATAATCATTGTCTCGCGAGGTCCTGCCCTTGACTTCAAATCTAAACAAGCTGTAACTAATATATCCCTGTGTGTCCTTGATCGTCATTGATCCTGTAAGAAAGGTAAGTCAGCAATAGTCTCGTTCATGCCTTCCTGCCGGTTTACACATACAAACCCCAGTGAGTCTGTCAAGCTTCCCAACGAGCTGTGGAATACCGTTATGCGGATACGCCTTTTCCAATACAGCACCGGGAGAAGGAAGGAGTCCTCTAGCAGCTTTGTCCAAGATAGGTGCTGCCGCAACAAAGGAGGAGAGGGACAGCACGGTGAGGAAGGCAGTCAACTTCATTGTGAGAGTTCGAGGGAGGATCGGATCTGTCAATAAAGTCAGAGTGTTGTTTGTGAATATCGCGTTAGTTCATGTCGCATACCTAGTGATTGACGAGAGCTACTGTAATATGAAAGATGTCAAACCGAATAAAATGAGTGCTATTCAACTTGCATACATGAAGAGAGAGATATCTAGCTCGGTCTTATTTCCCTTGACACAGCAGGTGCCATGATAGGGATAACAATCTTACTTCGGTGGTATGAAGGCTCAATCACAGAACCCTCCTTGGGCGCGAGGAATCCTGAACGTGACGCGTCAGACGCCCTAGATACAGTAGATGCTGATTTAGACCTGCGCTCACTCAACTTACATGTTGCATAAGATGAGGCTTTGGGTATTCCTTTACGAAAATCTCTATTTCAAACAAAGATAAATCTTGAAATCTTGATTCCGGTTCTCGGGCTTTGTGGTGGCTTTGTGGCTTCTTCTGGTATATGTACAGATCACATCCAACCTTGGAAGTCGGAATCCACGTATGCAAGGGATATGGAACGTCTCAACTCCCATCCATTCCTGCGATGTCACAGTTCAGTCCACAGAACAAATCGCTCAATTGCTGTATCTGTATTTGCAGTAGACTTAAGCATTAACAAACACTTCATAACTTTTCCATGACCCGGCATCTGTACAGGAGCCATTGAACAGCCCGTCGCTCTCTAAGCCTCCAGAGACACCAGTCACTTCACACTTGGCATTCTCGTAGAATAATGCCTTCCACCAGTTCACGTAGTAGATGGAATCTGCTAGAATGTAGCAGTAATCGTATGTGTCGCCGAGGCTTGCGCAGGACTGGACGGCCTCTGAACCGGATGCGATGAGGGTACCATCTGTGCACTGGAGTTCCGAGTCAGTTTCTTGTACTGCTATGATCACTGAGGCTTCAAGGTTTAGCGGTATACTCACAGAGTCTCCGCAGTAAAGGGCCCAGTCTGCAGTGGCCGTAGTCGCGAGGGTGAGGGCGAGGATTGTAGTGGAGTACTTCATGATTCCGTCAAACAGGGACCCGATCTATCTCAAATGCTAAATTAAGGTCTGTATCCCTTGTTCATATAAAAGACGTTCACTTACAAGCTTATGATCTGTAAGCTCTTAATTTCTGCTTATTCTGATTAAAAGTGGTCAGAGAACATCGCTCTGGTCCCAGGTCATGTACTTCCAATGAAGCAAAAGCATACGTACGTCCAGGCCAGCATGCGTTCGCCAAGGTCTTCGCATGGACAAATATGCCGACGTGGTGAAAGGGCGTTGGATCCTCAAACCTTGCAATCGAACTTCATTGGGCTACATCGACCCCGCTTCTGCACGCCTAGATTAAACCCCCGATGCGACTACCGGCATTTGAGATTTGGGAATGCCTATTGGGCAACTTTTGAAACTTGAATGCTTGAGGGCAAGTCGATCGGGATCAGTCTCACGGATGTTGAGGTGCGTTTTGATGGCTCAGGCCTCCGGTTGTTGAAACTGCCCAGATGGTGGTGGCGTCTTCGGGGAATTCAGCTGGTCTTATCTTGGTGTGTTACTTCAAGATGAGCTGATAGAGGCAAGTAAGCCCGCGGCTATCGAAGAGGGAATCTTTTCGTTGAAACGATTAGCTAGATATACAGATATCCTGAGTTGGGTGTCGTGGGTGGAAGAAATGCGATTTTGGATAGGTATACCTAATCACTACTTTAAAGTATATATTTGATCCACCTACGTAGGTGTCGCTTCTAAAGAATTACCTGTCAGAATTTGATTATTTGAATGCAACCTTGAAAACATTTCATTTTCGAGTCAGTCTAGGATTCTAGGAATGAAAACGGCGTCAATATATTTGTGGATACAGTATATATGTGGTTACGGCAAGGGCTTTCGGTAAAGTTGATAGCCATGAATACATATCATTTGGATACATTTGACATATGAACCTCATACTTATGTTCAATAGGTACTGATGATGGCCCCGATTAATTTTTATGACTCAGGTGAGATCAGTGTTGTGGAAGTGAGGGTGGCTAGATTAAAATGTGGCAGATGTATGTCGAGATACATCTAAGTTTAAACATGGCCTAGGTAGGTCTCAGTTGACTGTCCATCGACCATCAACCATCAATTCTCGATATTCCGGTCTCCAAATATTTACAAGTCTGATTTTAACAAGAAACTCATTAATTGATTGCAAACAGCCCTAAAAGGATTTCCTTGCATTGAGTTGATCTGATACCTCCAGCTGCGAACCTTTCCACTCAGTCTCCCAGGCTACCATCAATATACAACAAAGAAACAAATCGAAGCCCCTTTTCTTAGCCTACACTATGACACTAAGTAAACCAATATAGCCACCTAGCTACGTAAGTACCCAATTATGGCACTATCTCTGAAGCTTGCTCATATGCAGTTAGTAATAAATGGGAGTCTACGTCACGGACATCGACCGAAATTAAAGATTGGTCATACGAACCCGGCCTTGTACATTTCGAGTATCGAATATCGAGTAAAGCAGATTGAAATTGAAACGAAGCTCTACACGGACCAACAGATCCCGTGTCTGTCACTTTGGAACCCGTGCACCGGTAGACGGCTCAAAGATATCCATCTACTTGGGGGCGGGCCGTTAATACCTCGGAAAGCGATAAATCACAATTCTCCTTCCTGATCAGGCATAGACAACATTGAAAGGAACAGCGACTAGGTAAATCCAAAAGGAAAGAAGGCACTTGGGCATCCATATGCTCCCAGTCCAATCCGCCATTGGCCCCGGGTAATGACTCCATCCCTTTTTCTTCATAAAATTAAAATCAAAAGCAGATCCCGGGATGCGCCACTGTCCGCGCTAGAATGCGACGGCGTACACACTTTCTTTTTCTAGACCTTCCATTGACAGCCACTATTGTCCATCTTCATTCATAATGAGTCCCGCCTGACGTAAACCTGAACCCAATCTCTCCCACGGGGGCGTAAAAAAATGGGGGCTGGTCTCAAGGAGAAGTTTCAGATGTACGGAGCTTTTTTTTTTTCTGGGTCGGTTTCCACTTAGTTTCTTCCTTCGTGCAGATACTCGATCCTTCGGCTGGTCTAGGGATGGGAATACTACATGCGCTAGGGTTCTCTATGCATGATTTGACAGGACCGTGGCAGTGTAGCACGGGTAAAGAAAATATATGCAGTGTGGGCGCTTCATTGCAGAAGCGGGTGATGAACCTCGTGCCCGTTCACGGGAGACCCTTCCAGACCTGGAGATTGGTTGCACTGATCAGGTCTCATCACTAAGCTACATGAACGCAAGGTGTTAGCTCGGTCGGGATTCGGTGATGGTAACGGATCGCTCGGGGGAACCCCTTATTGAGCAAGTACAGACTGTGGAGAAGGGGGGTGAAGAAAGTCGCAAATAATGATTGGGGGAACGGAATAAGGTCCCTCTCCAACTGAAATATGAATTGCCGGCCCTTAAACCCTTCACGGTATCAAATGTCCGGGGAATTTCTGTCTTCCCCATTCAAATTCACGTTCCTGCATAAGTCTCCTGCAATTAGATTTCATCACATCGCCCTAAAATAAGAGGAGAAGTTTCGCGACGGAGACTGATATTTGCTCCCTCATGCAGGCCCTTTCACGTCAATGTACCCGGTGAGGGAGCCAAAGACAGCCCATTACCTAGCCAAGAAAAGATCATCGTGAAGTGGAGGAGGGGAGTACCTTGTACGTTCCTTCATAGGGGGCAGAAATGATAAGCCCCGCCGTCAGCTCTTCACTCAGTGCGAGGCGAGCGCTCACTTGATCGTCGATGCAGTAGCCCCACACGAACGAAGCCGTGGTTCGCGATGTTATGGCATCCACCTCGGGTCCAGCTCTAGCTTAAGTTGCTCGAACAACAGGTTTGTGAGCCGTGAACACGGCAGCGAAAAGCAAGTGAGCGGGCTCGTAAGGAAAAATTATACATAATTTTCTAGCTTGACAAGTAGTGGATATGGTAAGAAAAAGCAAAAAACCGTGCAGTTGTAGTTCTGTAAGGCAAACAGACTACAGAACCGAGAGTTTGGATTTTATCCACCCACTTACGCAACAGCGGATCACATTGCCATTGCCACCAGGACGAACAGATCGACAGTTCTTTCTGGCTAAGAATAAACGTAAATCGAGGTGGAGGAGATCGTGATCCCGTGGAGAAGGCCACAACAGATCAAATAAACCAGTGGCCAAACCTGGTAATGTTGGTAAACATCGTAAAACGTCAACCAGGAACGCGTCGTATTGGTATCGTATTACTGTCACGTGAGAGCCGCCGTTGCCGAGCGGCACAATATATCCAACACTTTGGATAAGGAGGGGCTAAAGAGGGTCGCGACGAATTATTGGAGTATATCATGAGAATCATGCCATATTTCCAAGAAATGGCTCGCAATATTGAAACCTTCGCGACTCGGCATTGTATCATATCCTCGTGCAATCCATGGATAAGCGACGATCTTTCTTTGCTTTGCTTTCTTACGTCCCATCCCGCGGAGGTCTTAGGAGATGTATTGTGATGATGATAAGGACAAGACCTATCATGTTTGTTCATCCCGCTCGAAGGACCGTGGCGCGGAAAGGGTGGGGTAAGTCGCTGCCGGGGCGTGGACGTGGGAAAGTCGCTATTGATTTTCTTTGTGAGAATGCATATACTAGCTGTTTACGGAGTAGGTCGCGTCCTAAGGATCAATTCTCATCACAACATAGTATGAAGACGACTGTAACATCTTGCGGCTTGGTCTTGCCCACTTCCCTTTTTTCGTTGTGGGAACGTTCTAGTCCACGAGGCGACACTATCGGTTTTCTACGAGCGTGTCTCCCGATAGGTCAACGCGTCTCTAGTCTTCCCCACACCAATAAAGCCCTTAGAATTCAGGGGGCGAATTTAATTCAGACAAGGAATAGCTTTAGTCCCGCATCGCGCGATGAACACGTGCTCGTAATTATAGAGGCCACGGGAAACCCCCCTTGTCAACTATACAAGTAAGTTTACTAGCACTGCGCCCCTTTGTGAACGGGGCGATCATCGATTTCCTCGACATGTTCTGGACTTTAAAGCCTTTTTTTTTTTTTTTTTTTTTTCTTTATTGATATTTTGATTTGTGCCGCGGTCCCTCGGCAAGTAAAAGATGGACGTTGAGACTATTGATTGTTAAGCAATAATGCCGATTATTAACTATGCAATGATGATGTCGGCCGTTCCAAGATTATCTATCTGATCATGTTTCCGAGCTAACGGTCGAAGATTAGGAACATATGTACATCAGTTGCTCCTGAGGTCTTTCAATAATTCGTCGTTGGATATCTCGCTAGTTTAGACTTGTGGAAACATGATCACATCGTACATCTCAGCTCCATCGCAATCTGCACCTAGGAAGACTTTCGGTCCCCGTTGACAGGAGAACGAATCCACCGAGAATCCCGATTCTTTGTGCTGGATCCCGGAAGGTTTCCCGTCCCACCGAACTAAATGGGTCCCGCTGATCAAATCGAATTTTGCGACAAATTTAATATATACATGCTGATCCTTTAAGGAAAGGTTCGCAATACGTCTTCGTAATATGGACCTTTGAACAAAGGAAACTCGCCGCCGGCCCCCCTTTCCCCCAGCCCGGGGTCCGGCGGGGGCACACGGAAAGGCCTTATGGAAAGTCTGCTTAAAGTACAGTGCTATTAGCCGTGTTTACGGGGCTAGAGGAGCTGCTGATACGATAATCGCAGCCTAGTGGCTCCGTCAACATGGATGGGGGATAGGGGAGTTGATGAGTCGCGATTCCTTCGCGGCAAAAGTACCGGCTGAACCGTTTTGTAGGAACGTGCTGGCCAATCCAGTCGCGTGATCATCGGCCATTTAATTTGCGGGCTCTCTGGGCGTTCTCGCGGATAGGATCCCGGATGCTTAGGGCGGCTAGAAATACACATTCTTGAGTGATTGTGGAGTTTGATATGTGGAGGCGTCAACGTGCTAGTCTCCTGTCTTGAAATGGAGACTGTTAAGCCGTTCGTACCGAGCGGATCTAGTGTACTGTCTTTGTATTTCTGTACTGGGGGTGTTGTTTCTGATACCATTAATTGTACCTGTTGTGGTACCATGCGCAAGGTATATTATACCTGAAATATCTTTCCACAGACTGGCTATCTACATATCTGAACTAATGCGATCTAATGCAGGCTTACATCTCTACTGATCTACTATGTACTTCTTTATCCTACGATAAAGATCCACGCGGGTAATTGCTGTCCCTTTGTAGAGTTTGAATGGTCCCCGACACTATTGACAGTTACCCCGGCGATCCACCTTTATTCCACGGGACTACTTGCGTTTAAATGCAACGTCCAATATTTGAGGCAAGAAAGGCCGAAATACGGTTGAATTTCAATGCAATTGATATATCATCTTTACAGAATTTTAGCATTTTTGCGAGTACCGACTGTTGTTACGGTGTAGAACTTATGTAGCTGATGCCTCAGGTATCAGAGCCCGTAATGATGCACACGCCGCACATTTACTCTCATGACATCACAACACGCACAGATGGGGCAGTTGATTGACATGAAAAACGAGCCCATTGAATGCAATCAGCAAATGGCACAAGATTACCGATAAATTGTTCAAACCCCACTGAACTGACTAATAGAACAGATCAAAAGTAGCGTGTAACACTCAAAATGTGGCGTAGCTGGGCTTTGGGGGAGGTGCAGTTAGCTCAAGAAAAGCCAAAGCGGAGTCAAATCACTCGCAATCGCCACTAAAAAGCCGAAGGATGGACTACTTAGACAATTCAAATTCAATTAGTTACACACAATCTAATATACTTGACTCTATTCAAGATCGAACTGTTCATTCCAGGTTTTGTTGCCGATGCAGACGCAGACGCAGGTACCATAGAGTTTGGATCACATCTGTCTACCGCTACTTTGTATTCAGCCTCAGTCACACGCCACGAGTTGCATGGATTTTGCAAAGCCACGAGGTTTCACAACATGACCCTGACGAGGGGAAGCAAGGAAATGTCTGCAGGATTTGCAACTATGAACCCGAGTCCGTGGGATTTATCCACGTCCGACTGGTTAAATGTTATCTATCACTTTTGTAGCTTACTTTTTTTTTTTTTTTTTTTTTTTTTTTGTCTGCGGCCCCGATCTAAAGGTATTAGTTAAATAACCAACTGAGATTATGACTGCCTACAAACTCTTTAACCCTGTGAATCCTGCAGTCGCAGTCTTTATTACAAGTGGTGGGTACTACTTGCTCTAAGTAGATTCATTGATTTCAATCTTGTACATCGTAGACCGCTTGAAGATGACGCGAGCTAATCGGAGTTCTTAATGCAAGACCCCACCAATTGAAAGGCTTTTCGGACAGACATCGTTTCAAGTCCCCAATTGTCACAACTTCCATGGTGGGCTCGTATAGAGAACTGTTATTTGTCATGCTTCTCCCGATTCCCGGATCCGCGGGTCTATACTCTGATTCAGATTCGATTGTGAGACCGAAAGACGCTGTCATCGGAGCTCGGAGGCTTTGAATATCTAGGTTGAAGGATCTGCCCCTGATTGATACGCTGAAAGCTCTGTTGTGTAACAGGCAAAGCTGCGATTGAGCACGAGATCCCCGTGCCACAGGAATCGATTTTCTATCTCCGACAGTCAGAATTGGCTGTATCAGGTCGGACCAAATACAATTGAGACTCCTGGATGTATGAAGATACCCATACAGCCATTGAAACAGGCAAATACATTGGAAACATATGTACGACCATGGACCTGCTTAAACGAACCAGTTTGTGTGTTTCCAGAGCGGCATAGACACATGTAACAAGCAGCGCCCGAAACGAAGCCTGACACGTCTGCCTTCAGACAAGCAAGGAGACACACGGATAATCTTCCTAATGGGTGGGATCGAAGACTCCCACTAACGCAGCTTCATCTGTAGTCTAGCGGGACGTACATGACACCGGAGATAAATAAGGCAACGCCCCACCACTTGGGCATCAGTCTCGTGTCTTTTTGCCCATAGAGGGTGTATATCCCGTCCACGGAATGCGTACTGAAGACCAAGCAGATTCGAACTCGTCAGCACTAGATAACTGGCAAATAGCGACGAGCGAGATGCGCGTGAGACATGTAGCAAACGATTTGACACAGTAATAGACTTGCGGGTGATCCCGCCTGTGCCGCCCTGTACAACGTGCGCGTCCCTTTACCAGACGCGATTTTTTTCACTTTTATTATCTAGCTAAACAACTACGAAGTACGGAGTTTAATGTATTGGATAATTATCTTATCTATGCCCGTATTCATTGGAAGCATGGATTTGTACCTGGCCCGAGCATTTGAACCCACACTCAGTTCCATGGATCAATTCCGTGCACGGAGATTGTTGCCAATTCAAGACGGGGACCGCTGATCTTACGCCCACAACAGGAAGGATCTCACTACAGAGGCGCCAACGTGATAATGCGGAGAGGCTTGCATTACTCCTGGGGCAGCCTATTGCTCTTCATATCGCGTCGGAGTATTTTTTTTACCTTGATGCGACGATTCTCCTATGTGGCGGACTAAATATATTCCTCGAGGGGTATGCTTGAGAATTTCAAAGTGGCCTGGAAACTGCAGAAATCATCATTTGTTACATGCAGGTTCAAACCGTTAGAGGGAATAACGAATTGTTGGGGGGGGGGGGGGGGGTATTAGCTTGCTTTAGTGCAAGTCTAGACTATGACCATAATGGGGGCCATGAACTCCATTTCTAGGTGTTGATGTACCAATTTGAGGGATTTGGAGGGGGCCAACGGGTTAAAAAAAATCTCCTCGGAAACAGGGAACAGGGTTCATAATTTTCCCCATCCGTTCGCAACGACCCAAGCTCTGAGATGGAGCTTCCGATTGTGTTGTCGTGGAGTATGACCCATCATTTGGAGGCGTTTGTATTTTTCCCCTCATGAAAAATTTGAAACTATTTCGGTCATGCACCAGGCTGTTTGCAAAAGTACGTTATGGAACCCAAGGCCCAAAAAACCCCTCTCGATGGAGTATCCATCTACGAGTAGAAGTGGTATTCCAGGTCTAAGACAAGTGGCGGGTCCACGTCAAAAGCTGATCCCGTCCCAAACCCCAGCACCTGCATCTTACTATAGCAGACTATAGATGCAGCCGCGGGTGGCTCTACAATACTGACGTTAATCCTGATTATCGCAATGATAGCTCAAATTCGACGGTGGATCCTTTAATTCCCGTCAACGCGAATTTCAGGCCTCGATCGGTTCCCATCTCAATATGTACCACTGCCCCACGCGGGAGGGAATACAAAGAACGCGACTGTATTCAAGTAGGAATTGTAAGGGAATCTGAGTGGCGAGATGAAGCCACAAAGACAGGGATAAATCGATATCGGACAAATCGAGGCAACAATTTGCTAGGACCTTTATCAACGGCTTTCCCCCCCCCTTTCTTGAGCTACGGTCCTTTTGTCATGCTAATATCTAGGTTTCCTTCTAGGTTCATGAATGGTGATGGGGATTCCAAAAAAGAGTTTTAGGGCTCCTGTCAACTTGGGGCGGTCGCTGCGCGGTCGATCCCCGGAGAGATAGTTGACAGGCAACGAGCGTCGCCACCAAGTGATTGATCGAGTCCGTGTTTGCTGCAGGCTCCAGCACACGGCCAGTGCATTAACCAACAAATTATTTTTAAACGGAATTATTGATTGGTGCGGTACCGCGGGAGGGCTTGGATTTTGCATCAGAACGAATCAAAAATTAGGAAGTGGATTTGGGGGTTTTTGCGAGGTCTGGAACGGAAAGCCCTCGGTAGATGCAAGTGGATTTTTTTTCTGAGCACTGATGTCTCTCCACGGGAAATTACAACGTTAGGAAACTCGATTGCTGCTGAATGAGTGATCCTTTATTTGTTTATTATTTTTTTTTTTTAACTCCTTAATTCCTTTTTGAATTTTTTTTTGTTTTTTTGTAGGACATAACAAGATGAAGGCAAAAAAAGAAAAGATGGAAAAACTAAGTGTAAAAACTAGGTGTAAAATGGAACTATCGTCTTGCTGTACATAAAGTATAAGCCGTATTTCGGTATCGTCACATTACATCATCAGCAATACACAACCAATACGCAGTGGATCCCACATGGATCGTCCCGATCGAGCCCCAGAAAGAATCAACTGGGTCCTTGAGAGAGCTCTTATTCCCTCTCCTCCCTTTTCTCTTTCCTAGTCCCTCATTTCGACTCGTTTGTGTTCAAAATTTGGATTTCATTGCCGCCGGTGGTAATATAACATTCATTCATCCCTTCTGTTCCGCCCTTGCGTGGGACCTCGTTTCCTCAAATAAGCTAAGGGAAATTCCGTTTCGTCATCCACTGCGAGTCAGTTTCTTTGCGGCTTCGTCCTTGCTGCGATCTTCATCCACAGGGCTGGGCCACTGGACTCCCTTCCTAGAGTGCATTACTCCCAACCTCGCATTGACACTCCTGCGGGGACTCAAGCGTGACAATTGAATTGCGACTGGTCATCCCCCTTCGGCAAGGCCGTTCAATGTTCCGGACTTCTATGCAGGAAGTCTACTGTTTATAGTTTTTCTCCAATTGTTTATTGTTTGGGTGTGTAAACTTCCGAGACTTGGAATATCCCTTTGCCTTGAATGCCCTCTTGCCCTACTCCCCAGCATTCTTGCCCTCCGACCTCCTTTGGAATTTGGGCATTCCAACACAAACACCCTATAGTTCTCCGCTATCCGATCACCGCGCACTTGATTTAGCGCCCCCTCAATTGACGATTGAATGCTGTAGGATCATCCCCAGCCTTCCTGACCCAATTCCCCGCTTTATCCCTGATTAGCGACTCGCCACTTCTTCATTGAATCTGGTCCATTGAAGCATGTCAACTGCATCCATTGTTTGAACGCCCCGGTCCGCGACCACGAACGGCTTTTTGGGAATGACCCCGAGTCTCGACAAAGATATGGAATCAATGAAGCCGAATATCCCACCATTGAAGATCGCCAAGTCGAATTTGAATCTATCCAACGCTGAACACGACGATACCGATATCGAGAATAAGGGCACGGCCGGTCGTTTTTACTTGAATCACGGCCAGTCCGAGATCACTCCGCCATTGACACCGCAAGGAATAAACACCAATATGGAACCATCAGAGCCCTCTGAAGCCCCGAGGGCTGTATTTCACAATTACCTACGCGCATTCTATCCGTTCCACCCGGCTGGAAATGTTTCGCCATCGACCGTTACTCTTCCCTTAGATCAGGGGGATATCATTCTGGTTCACTCCGTTCACACCAATGGCTGGGCCGATGGTACCTTGTTAGATTCTGGACATCGAGGCTGGTTACCCACGAATTATTGCGAAGCATACGACCAATTGCCCATGCGTCCTTTGTTAAAGGCGCTGACTGACTTTTGGGACATTATACGAGGAGGATGTGGATCATCATTAAAGGATTTTGGAAACCAAGATTTGATGCGAGGCCCTATTGCTGGCGTTCGGTTCCTTCTGGTAAGTCCAGACCAGGTCACATCATCGACAGCACTAACCCCCTGCAGGAGAAGGCAGAATGCCTGACAAGGGAAGCGCCTCTGGTTAAGAGTTATGATGGGCTACGGAGGATCCGGAAGGCACTGCTGTCTGATCTCTCATCGCTCGTGAAGACCGCTAAGAAGTTTCAAGAAGTCGCTAACGGCAGCCCGGCGGATGACGAGGTAGAGGCCATCTTAGATGAGATGCTTCTGAAGGCATTTAAGATCGTGACCCGTGGAGTGCGTTTTCTGGATGTGTGGAATGAGGAAGTGGGCTTGAGCCGGACTATCGCTGAGCTTGAATCTGCCGGTGATAGCTTGACCCAATTTGATATGCCTCCAACGCCCGCGTCAGAGACCTTCACTGTGGATACTGGCATGTCCGATGCCTGCACCGAACGAAACGAGTCTCGACAGATGAGCCGCAGTCGGATGGGCGTCAGTCGTGCCTCGGTCCGCACGGAGGTGCTGGATCACCCATCTAGACCTGTCTCCGTGACCACCAAACGCATTTCCGTGTCTCATCGAGTGTCGTACTCGGGCGCCTCGGCTGCTATTCGTTCACAGAACCTCGCGTCAGAGCGTCTGGGTACAACGTACGATGCCTTCCTTGGCGTGCTCGGATCTTTCATTGGCCTCCACATGCAGTCGCGATCATCTACCGAGTTGGTTGTGACCACCCAACAAGCCGTGCAGTCCTGCCGGTCATTATTGGATGTTGTGGAGGCTGTCTGCGAGCATGACACCCAGCACAGTTCTTTCCTCGAGGAGGCTCGCGAGTCAATGTGTGAGCGGTTATCGGAGTTGGTTCACGCTGCTCGTGATGTGTTCCGACCTGCCAGCTCGCAAGAGGATGATTTGATCTTGATGCCAGACCAGGGCAAGCGCCTGGTGGATGCTGCGACTGACTGCGTAAGGGCTGCTGGTAACTGTCTGGCCAAGTCTCGTATGGTGCTAGAACAGATTGGAGACATTGAGCTTGAGCCCCTGAATGAGGGGTTGGAAACCAGCGAGGACGTGCCTGGCATTATTACCTCGCAGGCTGACACTCCGAGTGACGAGAAATCGCAAGAGCTTTCCTTGCGACTTCCCCCTCCTCCTCTCACTATTCCAAACACAACTTACTCCTCTCCGTCGACCCCTGCCCTTACCGATTCCACTACCCCCTCTTCATTTCAATCCCACCTTGCCTCATCCATCAATTCCGCCCACCCATCCTCTGCAATCCTCCCCTCTCATCTGGAAATGTCTTCCTTCTCTTCATACGACAGCAGTTACCGTGAAAGTCATCCCAAGTCCGACGTAAGTGAATCTTTCGGTCGAGGTGTGACAAGCACGGGTAGCAGCTTTACATACAACAGCCACACTCGTGACTCTGAGATGAGCGGTGTGTCGCAGACTTCGACTCGCGCCACTTCCCCTGACATCGGCGGTAGCTTCCAAGGAAGCTTCCACGGGCCATCCTTGAAGGAGAGCTTGAGCCACTCGACTTTGGCCGAGGAGAATGAGGAGACAGAAGCCCATCTCCTGGAGAAGACTTATGCGCATGAACTGATCTACAAGGAGGGTCAGGTCATGGGCGGTAGTCTTCGTGCTTTGATCGAGAAGCTTACCGCTCACCAATCGACTCCCGATGCTATGTTCGTCTCAACCTTCTACCTCACATTCCGTCTTTTCGCTACTCCCCAGGAGTTTGCCGAGGCGCTTGCTGAGCGATTCGAATACATCGGAGATACTCCACATGCAGCCGGTCCCGTTCGTTTGCGCGTTTACAACATTTTTAAGGGCTGGCTCGAGTCTCACTGGCGCCATGATCGTGACAACGATGCTTTGGAGTTCATTGTTGATTTCGCTAAGAACCGTCTGACCACTGATTTGCCTACTGCGGGTAAGCGTCTTCTCGACTTGGCAGATAAAGTGTCTGCTGTTCACGGCCCGGTCGTCCCTCGTCTGGTGTCCTCCATGGGCAAGACCAACACATCAATTGCTCAATACGTTCACCCCGATACCCCTCTTCCTCCTCCCGTTCTTGGCAAGAAGGAGATCAACCTGCTGAAGCAGTGGAAGACTGGCGAGTCCTCGATTACTATCTTGGACTTTGACCCGTTGGAGTTGGCTCGGCAGTTGACCATCAAGGAGTCTCGCATTTTCTGCTCCATTCTTCCCGAGGAACTCCTCGATACCGAATGGACCCGCAAGTCGGGATCGCTTGCTGTCAATGTTCGTGCCATGTCGACTTTGTCGACTGATCTCGCTCACTTGGTCGCTGATTCTATTCTCTACCTTGAGGAGCCCAAGAAACGGGCTGTCACCATCAAGCACTGGGTCAAGATCGCCAACAAGTGTCTGGAACTCAACAACTACGACTCTCTCATGGCTATTATTTGCTCTTTGAATCTGTCAATGATCTCGCGGCTGAAGCGTACCTGGGACATCGTGTCTCAGAAGACCAAGACTACCTTGGAGAACCTCCGCAGCATCGTTGATGTTTCTCGGAACTACGCCGTCCTCCGACAGCGTCTTCAGAACCACGTCCCACCGTGCCTGCCCTTTGTCGGAACCTACCTGACCGATCTCACCTTTGTCGACCATGGCAACCAGTCTCTCCGCAACTTACCAACGGACGACGGCGAAAGAGCCGTGATCAACTTCGACAAGCACATGAAGACAGCCCGAATCATCAGTGAACTTCAACGATTCCAGATTCCCTACCGTCTCACCGAAGTCCCCGAGCTCCAGACCTGGATGCAGAACGAACTTATCCGCGTTCGCTCCAACGGCGAAACAACCGCCCAGACCTTCTACCGTCGCTCCCTCGTTCTCGAGCCACGGGATTCATCGCGCAGTGGTCCCCACCTGAATACCCAACTCGCACCTCAAACTCCATCTGCATCTCAACCTCCAACTCCTTCCGAATCTAATCCTCCTTCTATTCTTGAGAATGCGAAAGACAAGTTTGACTTGTTCTCCTGGACACATCCGTCCAAGCCGAAGTCCGTTGCGACGAATGGCTAATCATCGTGATATTATACCCCTCTTCTCACTATCACTTTCATGACCTGATGATCTGCTCCTTCATTTCTTGCGAGTTTTGCTTGATGTTTTATTCAACCTTCTACCTAACCATGCTGGCAGCATCTCATTTTCCTTTTTCTATTTCATTCTGTTACATGTTCTGTGAATATCCTTTTATTCTTATTTTTTATTCGGGCGGCGCTCGTGTCTTTTTTTCATGGTTCCTACGAGAACTGGACTGGACTGGCATCAGAAAAGCGGCAACGGAAATGAAAATCGGGTCCAGGGAAAATGGAGTATACCACAAGATACCAGGCCTTTCATTTCGTTTTGGTTTTTGACTGTTTTCTATGGGGAATCTTGGCAGGAAAAGGTTTACATTATTATTCTTTGTTTAAGTTACTCCTTAGAAAGGACAGGCCTCGCGGCTTTTGTACAATTGCAAGCTGGCTGAATGCAATAAGCTTTTGAATCTATTCCTATCTGTAACTGTGAGTCTCACTTGTACTTTAGTGTAGTGTAGTGTAGTATAGTGTGATTGACTTGCTTGGTTTCACCATAAAAGCTACTTATCCCAAGCACCACGTAAAGGTGCAAGTCCTGCTTGGGTGTCGTACACAGGGCCCGTACGACTAGGCAAAAACAAATTCATCAAGACAAGTCTCGCGCATCATGCCAATCAAGTTCCAGTCAAGAGTGAAGAAAACAGAGCTGAATGTGGGACTTTTCTTCATCCCCATCCACGGGTCATGGCCCACCGCGAACGGCAGCCGTGAATGAGAATTGGGATTGTCATTGTTTGGGCTCCAGTTTCTTTCTAATTCACTTGGCTTCATCCTCGATAGTACATGAAGCTTGACCTCGACCTTGAATGAGATGTGATCATTCAAGATATTGATGCGAATTGGGTATCTCAATTCTTATCGTCAATCATGTGCGCATCCAGTCTCATATCGGTCACTGTACAATCACTTTCATCTCACAATTTGTTCAATATCTTCGCAGTTTAACATCTCCTTTTTTTCTTTTTCTTTTTCTCTTTTCGAGACTCATCTTCTTCGGGGCTTGAGCAGCCCGTACGCCTCCTTTTTTTGTTGTTTTTGTTTTTTCCTCAACTCCTTCCACTTCTTCTCTTTTTCTTTTTTTGCTTTTTTGGCTGCCTTCGCCGCCGCCTTCGTATCCAGCTCTACTTCCATGGGCGAAGCCAACATGAAGTGGGTCTTAGCCTCTTTTGCTGGCTCGTACGCGCGCGCGACTTCATACTCCGGAGTGGAACAACCACCACTCTCGTCTTCTTCGATGATAGATGCCATTCTCGGGATGGTTGTTGTATCCCATAGGCAGAAGGGAAGAGACCAAGACAGGAGACCTTTGATCTGATCGTAGAAGCCCACTTCAGTGAACTGCTGGACATCGGTGTATTGCACCTCCAACTGGTTTCCGTCAAAGCTGCCATACAACACACGGGCTTGAGCGCCGTGGTAGATGGAGACAATGAGGGTTGGAAAGGTGTGATGAAAATCAAGAAGTTCTGGTCTGTGACGGGGATTCCTCATTGCTTTGGCCCCGTCGATCATTGCATCTCTGAGGAAAATGACCAAGGTTTCCAGTTCATGAACGCTTGGGTGGAGTTGGTCAGCCGGTTCATTGACTTCAAGAGTAATGATCCGGTGACTGCTTTTCTCCTCGGAGGATTGATCCATCCGACGGACATTGCCTGGAAGATAGGCAAGCCGTTGAATTGTCTTTTCATGGGGACTGGGAAAGATGTTAGGTCATCAAGATTCCATGAAAGGGTTGACAACTTACACAAATGTCAAGTATTCTGATGACGGACGCTCTCCATTGATGCGAGCAGTCTTGCGTTGTTTTGAGAATTCAGAGGCCAGTGCTGATCCCAGCAACCGACCACACTCTTCTTCAGCCATATCCGGAGATAGGCGAATCTTTTCATGAGTCTTGAAGAATTCGCTGATTTTTAAACCAGGGAACAAGCACGGGTTCAGCTGAACCATGGGCTCAGGCTGGAACCATGGCGTGCCGGGTGAAGAAGGAGTAGCACCTTGGAGATAGTCGAGATGTATTAACTGCATATTGCAGTCATGAATGTGGGCCTTGGTAAGGCCATGTTTGGAGTGGCGTAAAGAGAAGTTGATCTTGGACAATGATTCTTGTCGTTGTTTGTAGGACCAAACCCACTGGGGTTCTTGCCTCTTGCGTTGCGAACCCCACTGAGCACCTTGAAGTTGAACTTGCGAAGATTGAGAAGACATTTTATATAAGGTGAGCCTCCACTAGGAAGGATGGAAGAAGGAAGAAAAGAAACGTTGGGAAAAATGCGTGGGGAGGGGGGATTATATAGATATGCCCTTACAAAATACTGTTTATGCTTGATCCATGGATCCAGACAGCTCCGTCGATAATAGAGGACATGCTGATGTGGTGAAGGGCTAAGTTGCAAGTGGTTCCATGGTTGAGAAAATCTGGGGTAACCGTTTCATACTAGTCGCAAGCCCCGATATCGAAAAACGATGACCGAGCTTCCCACCTAGGAAGGCCGATGGGATTTTCAATACAATGAAAGTTGGAAATGACTCTTTACCCATTGCATTTCAGGTATTTTACACAACGAGATTTGTATGGGAGCTGTAGTTATGGCCAAAATGATGCAATGCTCACGTTATACCTTCCCAATTTGGCAATTTTGACTCCAAGTGGAAGTCCGACGACTTTTGGCCTTAATGCAGTAGCGAGAAATGCGGACATAGTGCAGGCTATATAACACGTTTAGTGAAATGAAGAGTTATCTCGCTGGGGCCTTAGCGTAGGCAAGGGGGTGCCTAGTAGAGCCAGCAGCCACTGTGCACCATTCCATCATAAGAAAAAAAACGTATGAATAATGAATTACATCAGTCTTAATGTAGCCAGCATTGAGTTAGACTCCGAAGTCTGCTACTTTAGATATATGAGGTCCGCAGAGTGTCCAGGAACCTACATGAAGTGGGTCAGGGTTCTCTTGCTTACAAGGCAGTAAGATCCCACCTAACATGACAACCATCCTGACTTCTTTCAAACTTATTTGAATCCTCTGTGGGCCTCCTCAACTTCAGCATGTACACGAGTACCCTGAAGGAAACCAGCGACAAGATCCTTGGGACGGCCGCTGGAACTTACTTTGTCGTCACTCTGCCAGATGGTCGAAAGGTGTCCACTGGTACAGTTGGAGCCTTGTTCGTCAATGTAAAATCCTACGACGAAGGCAATGATACTAAAAGAGCTGAGCTTAAGCCTACCATCAAACCAGCCATCCAACTCTACACAAAGTGGGTATGTTTGGCCTCTTTGCCCCAAAGAATGGACCTCAAGGTATGCATTTAGCAGACGCTATTTTTGTAGTTGTCGCTCAAATTTTGCAAGAATGTATAGCACTCATTCCGAAGTAGACAGTCTTCTATCCCAAGGCGCTTTTCCATGTCCATTAAGATACACTGAGAACTATTCGTGAAGGTAAGAAAGGGACCCCAATCCCGTCCCACCGAGGATGAGGTGTCGCGATACTAGTCGAATAATTCTCATCTGGTCAAATCCGTATCATCAAGTATGGTGGATTCCTTCCTACACTATCAGGAGTTCTCACTGCATCCCGCATCCCTGGGAAATACGCAGCTGAAGCTAGACCCGAGAGTATTTAGTGGTTGCAACAATGCACCTACAAGGAAAATGTCAGCACTGTAGTAGAAGCCCAGTTCAGCGCTTCAAGCACGTGCAGGATATTAAGGTACAAAAAACAATGTTACCTAGGGTATTCAGGTGAAGGAGTGAGGAGCAGGGCGGCAATGGTAATCTCCCGGACGAAATGATAAATATAATAATATCAAAAAACATACAACTGCTATTGTATGTCTATAGTTTTTTAGCGCCCACGATAACGGCTTGAGCGGCTCGCTGCTCTATTCAGTCTTCACCCATTTGAATACTCTTCGCCTGAGCTTTCAGCTCGTGTAGCAACAGGCACCTTTGCACATTTTGAAGACAATCACTAAAGGTCTCAATCAAAAACTAAAAGGGATTGTATTGATCTTGGGTTATTCAATGATTGAGTGAGGGAATTATTGCCGTCATGCTGCGAAGAAAAGTCTAGACGTTGATGAAGAGCTTTGGCAAGGGCGGTGGAAGGCCTTTGGGGAATAAGAGCGATTCCGATTGAGCAGGTGAAATGAATTGCGCCAAAGGCCTAGGGGTGCTACGTATTATGAAACCACTTGCGCCGGCCTCGAGGGATTGTGGCTGCAAAGACTGTCGAGTGTTGTACAATATTGATCTTAGCAAGCATCACATAGCGACTTATAATCAATGATAGAGAGAAGCGGTACCAAAGCCGGCTCTTATTTGGGGAGGGACAGGAGCGGACCTGGTTGAATATTGCGCGCTGCGCTTCCAATGCCTGAGACTCTGTTGATTCCTCACACAAGGTCACAGAATTCTTGATGTGAACTGCTCACCAATCTGATTCCTTATTTTAGCGCCGCGGGGTCACCTGATGAAGCAGCCAAGCGTGTGCCCTCTTTTCAGCCAAAGTCACATAACGGTCCTTCCCTTGGACCACACGGACGAGGCACGCTTTTTGATATGGTATCAATATACTTCAATGGGGAAAATTCTGGGGTCCAAGTTGGTGTATACCACCGTGCAATCCGTGCAGATTACAATCTGCCTCCACGAGAAGCATTCCACATCGGCTGGATATGCGCGCTGCCAATTGAGGCAGCCGCAGCTCGGGAAATGCTGGATGAGTGCTTTGGAAGTCCGGAGATTCAAGACACGACAGACCTTAATACCTATATATTAGGTCGAATCGGCAAACATAATGTCGTGATCGCCTGCCTCCCTGGAGGAACTCACGGAACTACCTCAGCTACCACCGTCGCAATCAACATGACTCGCACATTTTCCAAATCCCTCCGCATCGGGCTACTTGTCGGTATTGGGGGCGGACTTGTGTCGGCCGCTCATGATATACGGCTTGGGGATATCGTGATTAGCTACCCCCAGGGTATGAGTGGCGGAGTACTGCAATATGATATGGGGAGATCTAGCGTAGGAGTTGATTTCCGGCAAATTGGCTCATTGTATAGACTTCCTAGATCATTGTTAACAGCTGTTAGCATGATGAGGGCTAGTGATTTAACAGGTGACGCCCGCTACCCTACATATATAAAAAGCGCCATTGAAAGAACCTCACGGACCCGCCAAGCTTTTGCTCGACCTGGTGCACATAATGATAGATTGTTCAAAGCAAACTATGATCACCCAGTGACTATGAACAACTGTGACAAATGTCCCACAGATTGGGAGGAGACAAGAAGAGAACGTGAGAGCAATGATCCACATCCACACTACGGTATCATTGCATCTGGTAATTCTACCATCAAGCATGGCCGGATACGAGAGCAGCTCAGGTTGGAAACCGAGGCTTTGTGCTATGAAACGGAGGCGGCTGGTTTGATGCCAGATTTTCCCTGCATCCTCATTCGCGGTATATCTGATTACGCTGATTCGCACAAGAACAAAGAGTGGCAAGGGTACGCGGCTTTAGCAGCAGCATCATATGCTAAAGAGCTGCTAGGCTATATTCCTGTGGGCTACAATTTGCAAGAAAATTTAGTGGCAGATGGGTTGAGTAAGTATAATATACATCAGATTGGTCCTCAGCCAGAATTCCTTTTCTCACATAGCACCATGCAGATGAGTGGCGAGAAATTGAAGGCATCGATCAGAGCTCGAATCAACTATATGATCAACAACAACAATACCCCTTTATAGAACCTAGAAGCTCACAACAGAGAGATCACGCCAATGAAGATGAAACCGATAGCTCAGCTTTTGGTCATCAAACTGACATTGAAAGCATTTTTTCCGCGGAGTCTACTTCGTCTTGGCAATCATCTCAACCCGAAATCACATCAACTGCTGTCCATGAGCTGGCTCGTTTACTCTTGGATGATGAACCATTGATGGGTCTATTTACAAAGGCCATCTCAAAGGTCGGCTTTGAAAAGTTTCAAAGAAACTTTTCACGTATACTAGAAAAGTATGCTTCGGGGTTGAATCGCGATGCGTCCAATGAAATTCAACGTGAAGCAGCGCATTTTGTTCGGTTGTCAGCACGACAGACAGCAATCGAGGTCCGTATAGATCTCATGGAGAATAACCCTAGTATTTCATACAAGACAAATCTGGAAGCAGCTCCATCGGAATTGGCTCGAGTCAATCAGTGGATAGAGTCTCACACAAGTGGTCGCAAGGACCAAGGTCCTGATGGCGACGAGTCATCTTTGGACAGCGATCCAAGTGATTCAGAATCCACTCCGCTAGCTTCGCTTGAGATGGTTAAAGAATTCTTGGTGTCAACACAAGCTTTCCTCGATCTAAGGCTCGAATTGCAATGGTGGCTGGAGGGTAAAAAGGAAGCTATTCACAGAGTTCAAAGGGAGAAGAAATATGCGCATTATCCTGGCAGCTACAATGAAGTTCGAGAGGTGAAGGCTGATAAGGCAAAGCATGGCGAGGATCAGGGTCCTCCCATAGATGTCCCATCAAGTTTGTCGACCCAAAATTGAAAATGGGTTGATACTAATATTTTGTCAGACTCACTTTTTTCACTCTCTGTTGTTGATGTGATGCGCTTCTTCGGCCTAGATGCTAGCATAAACGGTAGACTACAATACGCTGCTGACCACGACATCAGAGAAGTGCCATTTTCTCCGGATTGGAATGATGAGATCCGTAGAGATGTTCTTCGTCGAAACGATGCTTCTCTTCAATGGCACACACCATCCTGGTGGTTTCGCCTTTTGACGATATATCCCCGCCCGGCAGCTGGTTACCAGCGAATTCCATATCTATGCGTCTGTCATTCTTTTTCCAGTACACTGAGCCAGGCTAATAATGCTGTAGGGCTGTGGAAAGTTCACATACCTTGATGCCAGGGAATTATCAGCAGGTGGTATTGACAGGTTCAAGCAGAGGCTTCTCGCTAGCAGCCGTGCCGTACAAAACCGAGAACAGGCCGGGTCTGTTCACAATCGTCTGGAAATTCCACCTCCAGCACATTTAAGTAATACCAGTGTGACTGTTGGCAACCGTTCAACACGATATACCCCCTCAAATTCTTACTTGTCGCAATCCACACAGCGTGAAAATTCTCTCATTAGAGGTCCAACCGATCAGGACTCTAAATTCGTTCTTTTGTGTATTAACACAAAGAATTCGACGGTCCTATCGCACGTTGAAGTGACTTCTTTGACAAATGATCAGCATCTTTTTGAGCGAATTTTGACGGAGTATCGAAAAGCTCGTGAAAACTCTGAATTTAAAATAACATCTATACTTCCACAGTGGCTCTCCAGCTTTGTGAATACCATTACGACGCGAATGCCAGAGTTACCATATCTCCGGAGAATTTTCAGCCTCTCCGCGATTTTATGTCACATTCAACAATTGTGTCTGTACCGAGTTGGATCTGGGGATTTGTGCAGGTAAGAATACATTATCGCAGCTCATGTCTTCCAATCTCATGTCATCGAGGACATTAATACGTTGCAGTTTCAATTAGTGCCTATCGGGATGAGATGTCTTCCCATGTGGTTTCAGACAAAGAGAATGCCACCAAAAGCCGAGGTTGAGGAAGGGCGATATCTCTATGACCCAGTTCCACTGGATGATGTAGAGTTGGCCTATATACCCCTAGATCACCTTCTAGAACCAGGACCTCACAGCGACAACTTCTGGATCACCAGGTTTCCCAAAAAGATTCGAGATCCGTTATCCCGTTTGTCTGGATCTGGCGGGATGAAAGTCACTGGATGGGGAATTCATGTGAATGAATCTTTGAACTGGACCATGGTTCTACTTTCAATATTCGTCACGCTTCTACTCATTGGATTGAATGTGACTGTCTACGCAGTGATTACCTCAGACAGCGCATCTGCTTTTGGCATTGGATCTTTTCTCGTGGCACTGTTCACGGTTTACTTCACCTATCAGTATTTTGCATGGAAAGATAATGTGTAGCTCGATCAGAATATTATGGTTGATTGGCTCTCCTAGGTACAGAATTCTGCCGATAAGTATGGCGATCTTTGTCAGATATTATAGGATTGTCAATTTTCATTTGTATAATGACTTGCACCGATTCGAGGAAGGCGCCAAGGCTTAGTATACAATACATGCTCGCACAGTCGGGTCCAACGAAAGGTCAAGTTGTAAAATTGGCTAAGAAATTAGACTTACGAGGTGCCTGGGTTTCAGATCCACTCAAACTGCGTTCAAACTCCATAAATTTACTCTCAATCGTTTTTGATAACCTAGACTGGGAATTGGTGCTAGTGTTTTTACAGGAGATTTGCAATTGATTTAGGTAGTGTGCGTATACGTAATTAGGGCGGTGGAACAGCGACTAATGGGTGTCCGTCCGAGCATATGCCTCTGTCCATTCTTCTATCTCTATGCACCTATCTTATGTGTGTGCTTGCCAATATCATGTGATCTAGCTAGCTTACATCATCTAATATGCTGACAGGTGGATATCATCACGTGATGATATATCAAAACCAGTCGATCCTAGGAAAACCTCTAAGCCAAATATAACTAGCAATTGTCTGCTTAATATTGCGCGGAGTACTAAAATCAGTAAAGTGATGAAGCTGATTTTGATCCAATCCGTGGTGAAACTGAGTGAATGAAGGGGATAGGAAAGGTTAGCGGCAAGACGACCGACCAAATGATTCTTATACGGGATTTCCTAGATACGGGCAGGGAAAGATCAAATCAGGAAGTAGAGATGTAGCGAGAAGAATATAGCCGAGTGGCCATGTCAGCTGTTCAGGGGGTGTGCAGGATATAAAATTCCAAAAGAGAGATGTTCAAGGCATTCAGGTGAAGGGGAATGAATGGACTGAAGAGTAGGGAGGGCTAAGGGGAGTTTCCAAATATACCAAAAATTTAGCAAAAAGCAAGGAAAAACATACAACAGTTAGGATTCGCATGTGGTCACCCACCATACTACTAACTAACCGGCGTGTGGCTTAAGTACGGCTGAGCGGACGGGAAGCCCTGTTCTCCACACCCTATGGTCGTATGTGCTGAATACACTGGTACAGAATACCATATTGTGAAAGAATAAGAACTGTACTATCTGTTTGCGACCGTGGGTGAGAAAGATAGGTAGATAAGCAAACATGGATAGGATCGATCGGGAGGTGAATTCTAGAATTTTGATATAGATTGATGGATTGGAAAAAAACACCTCACGTAGGACTACATCAGGTATGAGACTGATTGCAGAGCAACGAAGTATTGTGAAGTACTCTAGGAAAATTGGGTTAGTATGGTTATGTATGGGTATATGTGGGTGTGCGTGTAATGTATGGACTGGCAAGCAGAGTAAACCTACGTATCGGATTTTCTTTGACGACTTTCGGCTTCCTCTTCCGGATAAGTACCACCCCTTGCCACTTTTACTGAGTAGATCTGGCGAATCACTGCGCCTGAGGTCGTGCTCACGCTCATGCTTAGTGAGCCGGGTCTGAGCAGACTCATCCTTGTACTGAATCAGCCTACGTATGCTAGATAAACCCTACTGCAGTGTCTGAATCTCCAGGGGAGGGGAATTATATAAATCCCAGTGATTATCATCAGTCATATACACGAATGAAACCTCCGCGTCACGGTAAGGCACTTGATCCAGCCAACATCATATTCGGTAACACCCTCCAGCGGCTCTTCATCTGGCTTCGGGCCATTTTGTTCCCTCAACTCATAAGGAAGTGAGGACTAGAATTCGCGAACTGAAGCAAGAGCATAGCTGGGTGGATAAGTTAGGGCTAGTGGAAGGTACACCGGGTATCAATACGCAACAATATCTCCATCAAGATGCTCTAACTAATCTCCAGATACGCTCAAAACATCAATACCATACAAGATTTTGACACATCAAAATCTGGGAGCAAACATAGTCGAGGCCGGTTTTCCAGAGGCGGGTATTTGAGGGTGCGTTATTTCTCCGTTCATTGCCACGTAAAGAGGAACAAATCCCAGTGGACACGGACAAAAAAACAGTACAATGGAGGTCTTCGGCTCTTGAAGATCCTGTCACATTTCGCTCTCCAGTTCTCCGCTTCCAAAATTGAGCCATCAGGGGCATTCTATGAAAGGTACCATGTCTTCATCGCCGGACTCCGGTCGAAGACCGCGAGAAAGACGTCGAAGTCGTCGACGAAGAAGCCAGAAACCTGATTCCCACCGATCAAGAAGCCCACACGTGAGAACATACCAGTCACGGTCGAGGCGTGAGAAGGTGGCAATTGATGAGATACTGGTTATTGACCTGGTCACCCCCGAACCAGAACTTATCGTGCCTATCCTCTTTGCTGACAAGACTGTCATCGAAAGGATTAGTGCAGCAAACATCCTTCATTCTTCCCAAACTTATACTGTGCCAGTCGAACAGAGATCCCTTTCCACCATTGACCTCGTCCGAGCCCCTTCTTCGTTACCCATTCCCCGACAGGCCTTTAGACGGAGGAATTCATAGGATAGCGGCCGCTTTCCGGGGACCTGAATCAGAATGTGCTGATAGGATCCGCACGACTTTTGCTGCTACCATGTGATGATCCAAGAAGGATTTGAATGGAGTGACCCCTCCAGGTAGATCAGCGCTTCTCCCTCTTCTTCCTTTCTTCTCTCTCCATCCACCCACAATCTAGATCGTTTCTGTCTTCTCTCTTTCCCCTCTCAGATAGTCTCCAATAGTCTCCAATTGTCTTCCATATCTAGGGACCAATGGCTACTCATGGATAAGAACAAAACACGATAGAAGATCTTCGGGGCAAATTTAAACACGAGCTAGGTAACTTTTTAAGGGGTGTTGAGAGCATGTGGACTTAAAAAGGACTAGAAAACAACAAGACATCGACTAAGGGAAGTTGGTTCTAGGGTCAGTGTAGGTAAGGCATTCATATTGTGACTAGTAGAAGTGAGTTACAATAAAATAATTAACGTGGAAAAAATAAGGGTGTGATTTATTGCGGAGCTACGAGATATTGTGGAGCACTCTATGAAAATTAGGATAGTATGATTGTGTATGGGTATATGTGGGTGTGCGTGTAATGTATGGACTGGTAAGGAGAGTTAAACTACGTACCGGATTTTTTTTGAAGATTTTAGGCTTCCTTTTCCGGATAGGTGCCTCTCCCTCGCCGCTTTTACGGAGAAGATCTGTCGAATCACTGCGCCTAAGATCCAGTGAGCTGGGTCTGAGCAGACTGAGAGGTCCGCGTAAGTGTTCAGCTTCCGGTTGACGCAGCGCAAGATGTATGAGAGCGTCAAACGTGTTACTAAGATGAAGGATGCGGAACAGACTATCAGCCAGGGCTCTGTCGTGGGGAGGGTCGAGGAAGGTCTTTACTAAAATGCTGTATAGTCCAACACTCTTTGCGAATGCTAATGTGGAGTATGAGTCCGGGCGAGGCCCGCATAATAAATTGCTTGGTCTTTCTATCGAGGATTCGAGCGAGGCTACGGTAGAGGGCACCCGAATAGAAGAGCATAATACGGTTTCATCTGGCATTGAATCTAGAATCGGTGGTCCTTTAAGGGGAGGGCTCTTTGACCCTATCCCCATAAACCAAAGTTGGCTCATCAAATGGAATTCTTAAAGCATGTTAGTTGTTATGCTATAACCATATAACCTATCTTTAATTGGCTAGTCATCACGATCGTAGAAATATCTTAAGGAATAAGGACTTGAATCATATAAACTTTCCCATCTCCACAGGCCTTGTGTGCTGGATTAACCTACTGTAGTGTCTGAATCTCCGGGGGACGAGAATGATATAAATCCCAGTGATTGTCATCAGTCATATGGACGAATGAAACCTCCGCGTCACGGTAGGGGACTTTCATCCAGCCAACATCATATTCGGTACACCCCTCCAGTGGTTCTTCCTCTGGCTCAGGACCATTTTGTTCCCTTAACTCATCCTGATCCAGCTCCTCTGGCTGCCATCCCGCTTGAACTAGGCGAACAAAGCCCGTGTCCTTGTCGTCATCCGGGGCGTTTAATACCGATTCCAATGCCTCCTGGTCCACCACGACGGAGAACTTATACCGGCCAGCCCCTCCACGATGACCGTTCTGGAAACCGTGTTCCTCTCGTAGTACCGTCGTCGCCCACTGATTGAAGTGATCGCGTAGGACGGCAACTGTCGCGCCCTCAAAGGATCGGTTTTCCAGGACCGTTGGGGCAAATTTGCCAAGGAGGTCTAGACCCTTGTAGTACTCAATATTTTCCAGAACGGGACGGAGGAAGTGTGCCATGAATTTCCCCCAGTCCGAGTCATTTTGATACGTGCACCGAAATATCACGAAACCCCATGTTTTGAACCCATCCTTCTCAAGAAGCCTCTCAAAATTTTCGGCCCCATTGCTCCTAGTTGGAATGGTGGGATCTCTTTTTGAAAAATCTATTGAAGTAGTCGTTGTTCTTAAGGCTACAGCCTTAAAAAGGTGATGGGAGATGTAAGGGGTCTGCAAGGTGTGAAGGATGGATGATATGAGCAGGAAAGCGAAGGCCACAGGCAGAAAGGCGGATTAGGTTGGATAAGTTAGGAATACGAAGAGCCCTTCTTCTAATCATGGATGCGGGGGGCCTTGAATAAACGTCAGTAGCGAAAGGGGTGGAAGGAGGGTAGAATGGAGCGAAGAGTTGGACGACCCGGCGCTAAGCCTATGTTAGTACTTGAAACGCCTCGGTCATGGTAGGGTTGCAAGGAAGTATTCTCATATTACGAGGTTGGAAAAGTAGGAGTCAAAGTTTTGGAAGAATTAATTGCAGATTACCATTCTATCTATGTTTTGCGGGGAGTGGTGGTGGCCTCGCTCACCGCATCCACATCCCTCCATGCTTAGAATAAGCATGCTGTATAACCGTTGCTGATGTACGCCAGAGTCCACACTGAGATAAGTCGAATCGAGCGCGAGCTCCCTGGTACTCTATATTATACCAGTCCCTGGCTTTTATTACTTTATACTCATAGTCTAATATACTCTGAGCAGGAAGCATACCACATCGTAGAATGCAGGAACCTCTGAGTAGTGAATGAAGGTAGAGAGCCGAGCTTCAGCCATGCTGTACATGAGAGACAATTCTAAGCCTCCAATTCATTCCAGAGCCTAGTAGCAAGGCCTAAGCAATTCTTGATCTGCTATCCGGCGCTCTTCAGCTCTCATCACGTGGCCCTGGCACTGACTTTTTCATAACCGAACTGGGACATGCGGAGCACACTACTGGATTTGATTCCGATTCGAGCATAGTAACTTCAGTCTCATACATCACCTCAGAAATTCCCCAAATTTTAAGACCTACTACAGGGTAATAGCTATCTTTTGACCTAACGTCACTAATTGCCGATGGTTCTTATACCGCTGAGCCTATTTCACCTTTCCTAACATGCGCAACCTCACTGTGAAGAACTTTTATTCCTTGAAGACTTTATGCAAAGACAGTTATGTAGCTTTCTGGAGCAAATGTTGTAGATGGCTGGTTTTGAAAATAAGTCTTGAATGTCATTTGCCTGTCCAATCCAATCAAGTAGAGGTAGCAAAAACTAGCATAGAAAATTGAGCACAGGTAAGTCTCGATCCCGTTGGTGGGATGCATTTCTTCCAAGAGAGTCGTATTTAACACATTCTTCCCTGGACTACAGTGACATTTGTGTTGTGATGTGTGCGTATGTCCTATAAAGGCAATACCCTTCTCTTCAAGACTTCCTATCAAGACTACCTATTACATTAACCCCGACAAAGCAGGTCACACAACCCTCTTATCATCGAAGGACCATATGGACATACAAATCAATCAAATGTGTAACAAGACAAACCTTCCAAAGGAGGGGTTAAAGTGATGTATCCCCTTTCATACCATTCAAAACTTTCCCCTGAGGTCCATGCCACGTCAGACCAAATCGGACCCCCACGAGGTTTATGCAATGCAAGTGATACATCAACTCGTAAATTCATACACAAGACCGGTGACTGCCTTTTACGAGTAAATTTGCATGTAGAATGAGACTAATCTGAAACTATTCCAGTCTTGCATAATTTCTGCAGAGAAATGTTATGCATTGCCGATCTGGTTCATGCTGACTCTTGTTTGTATAACCTTGGGAGGTTGTGGCTAGCTGAGGGACTTAAAAAACCTCAATCTACCATGTGCTGTTTCGAGGTTTTTACTTGTATTCTGCCTTACGCCGAATGAACGAGTATGGTTTTGTATTGTTTTTGATCCTTCCGTATTTTTGTATACAAGTGAGGGGTGATGCTTTACGAGGAGGATGTGATATATCAATTAAGGGTTGGCTGGATTAAGCCATCCGCCAAGACCGGACCTTTCTCTCAGGTTGGGACTTGCATAGATGAGTCAAGTTTCAGTTTCATGAAGGCAAATGTATGAATCGAAGGATCGATGGATTCGGTAGTGAGGTCAGATTTTGCTCCAAGCATTGCGTCGAAGGATTTCTTTCTTGAGGTCCCATACTGCTAAGATGCTACTGTAGTGATTTGCTTGACCGATGCCTATATAAGAGTAGTATTGGAAAGGTCGAATTTTCGAATTTATCAATGAGTGCCTTTCTGGCTTTTTTAAAGGTGAGGCGTATAAGTCCGCCCCCAACATCAGAGACCGTCCAGTGTTAAGAAGCTCAAAACCGAGCCCTCAATAAGTTCAACAATACTAATAACCAGCGTTTGGAGAGCATCTCAAATATGAACCGAGTCAGGGTAATTTATAGGTACATAGAACCCTTCCATACCCATGCCTACACAGCTGCTCCTCCTTCCTTCCTTGAGCCATCTCCCACCCTATTTCGCGGACTGTAGTTCAATTGATCCTTCGGGATCCGGGTAAAATCGTGTCTCTGTTCCTGTTGAGCTTGGCTTTTCTGAGACTGGCTGCGTCGAGGCTGGGTGTGTTGGTGGCCCGGCTCCTGTCGATCTTGACTCTGCTGGTCTTATCCTGGGTTCAGACATTGGTCCAAATGTACATTTCAGGCACGTTGCTTATGATAGTTGTTTCAAAGCAAACCTGGAGCCAAAGGACAGAATAATTAATATGTTCCTCGCTTTTTGCTTTGAAGGGATTGGTAATAAGTGTGGTTTAGTATTCTTGACGTCACGAACATGGGCTAATTGATCATTTGAAGATAAAGCCAAAATGTGATATCCACTGAAAAGAAATCTCATTTGGTAGAATTTTCCAAGCTTGAAAATGGGAACATCTATTAGAGACCCTAGGGAACGAGAGCCGTTGGAAAGCAATAGATCAAAGAAGCCTAGTAATCTATTTTTGTGCATACACCTGGTAGATATTTCAACCAATCACTCAATGTACATATTTTGCCTGGAACGCCTCTATAAAATTCATGCCCGAGTCATCATAGTCATCGTATTCAAGACCCATGCCTCCATCAAATTTGTCGGTCTCATATGTCGGCTGTGGCCGAAGATCAAGAATGGGTATCATGGACGGCCGTCCATGGGCGCATTGAAATGGGAATGCACACCGAGCCAGCCGCAAAATCAATTTCCTGCACTCATCGATACCCAGTGGGTCGTTGAACATAATGGCGGTGCGACATGCACGGGAATTAAGAAGATCAATGATACCCTGGGGACAGCCACTCATCTTTTGTACCCAAGAATGCGGAGTAGAGGATCCCACGGGGGATGATTCGTCCTCGTCGAAGCTCATGCCATGGCTCTCGGAGTGGTTATCTGCAGAAGCCATCACTGCCCCCAGTGGTTTCCTACTACCTTCCTCGTTTGTCCAAATCTCGCGGCGAAGCAATTCAACAATTAAAGTAGGTTCCAATCGACATCGTTCTGCAATAAGAGCTGGCAGCAAATGGACTAAGATGGTTGGCTCGGACTCTGAAGTTTCGCCCGTGTTGTAATGAATCCCCCAGTCTTGGAAGAAGCCGGAATACTTGTGAAAAAGCGTAGCTTCGGTGGAGGAGATCTTGAAGGCAATTGGCTTGATTTCAACAGTGCGAACTTTAGTCTCATACGGCGGCTCTGCTGGAATGAACATTTCTTCAAATAACTGTTCGATTCGGCAGCGTTCATCTGCTGCATGTTGATCAATCAGTACTAAAACTGCGTCCTGTATACCAGCACTCTGCAAAGTTCCTGCGTCCAATTTGGCAAGAATAAACTTTTGATCGACTTGTGCGATGATGGTGGCTTTTGATAGGCTTTGACGCTGCAATTTCCCCCTGAAACTGGCAACTCGAGAAGTCTCTAAAGTTCCAATTTCGTAAAGACAACTGCGAGAAGAAGCCTCGGGGTTAAAATAATTATTTTCAAGATCAAGCCTCGGCAAAGGCATCTCAGTGCGGGTAAGTGTCGGGTTGTCCCATGCTTTCAGTAAATTTTCTACCCAAGATTTCGGAATTGACGGGTTTGATTGAGTGTCTCCTAACCTTGGTAGAGTAGGCCTTGTGAAAGAACTCGACGCCATGGGTCCAACCGTCTGACCGGTTCGGGAATTGATCATATGTGTTTTCCCAGTGCGCTGGTTAACCCAAGGAATCAGCCTGTCCGTTGTCTGGGATTTATCTTCATCGTCATCTTGCTCAACTTCTTTGCTGTGTTCTAGAGAGGTATTCGACAACAGGCTTTCAACATTTTCCTCTCCCTTTGAGCGGCTTTGAGGGCGTTCGGGCAGAGAAAATATCTGTCCTTCAAGACGATTGGCACTATCTCGATCGGGCGCCAAACGAGTATCAAGTCCCTTTGCCGTCTTCACCCTAGACCAGTTATTCAAATTTGGACTTGAATTGACCGATTGCGGTCGCTGGAATGACGGAAGTTTGAGATTGTTGCTGAAGCCTTCTTCCGCACTAGATTCCGCACCGCGTTGCTTAGAGGAAGACCTAGAACGACTTTGACTAACAGAAGGGCCCCCTTGAGCTCGATTTGATATCTTCTCTTGCCGCTTCGTAATACGGGGTCGTAAATTCTGTTGCTTGAGAAATTCCAAGATCATTGCCTCGAGGAGGTCAGTGACGCGTTGTAAGGACTTGTCTGAGTTCGGAGAGACCTCATCACCATCATCACCCAAGAGTAGAGTCGTACTAGTCTCGATACGTATATAAAACATCGGCCACTTATTGACTGGCTTTGCCCAAGCTTTGCCACTAAGACTGCTTGGGGCTTCAGAATGTCCTAAGACAGGGGACGGGCACGTCGCGGTGTTGCGAGATATGTTTCCAGAGACCCCGAAGTCGGAGAGAGATATCAAACGATTTATTTCCTTGAAGAGAATATTTGAACCATTTGGCAGCACCGGATCGTTGCCTAGGGAAACAAATTGGAGCTTTTTCGAAGGACTGGGTACAATGGAGATTGCAGCACAGATTGCGAGATCGGGAATGCTCGCCGAAATGATATGCCACGTGTCCATGTTTCTCGTATTTATCATCCCCGATTGTGCGAGAATTGATCCAATTCGGCGTAGATCAATTGTATTGGCGACATCCACATGATCACCTGGTATAGATCTGTCTAGGCGAATTGAGACTCTTTTGCCCCGTTCCGTATCAGAAAGCACCAACTTCAAGAGCAAAGGATTGGCCAGCATGAGGGAAGCCAGCGAATATCTCAGATTATCCCACTCTCGGTCTAATTCATCTGGTCGTTCAAAGGCGAGAGCTCGACGCTTCACGCGCACCGGCATGTTTCCAAAAAGGTCATTCACCGTCACACATGTGCCATGATCACTAAAGCGAAGACTTTGGTGTACAGGCGAGGGAATCAATCGTGCCACGGGTGTTGAGCGATGAAAAATGACAGAGTTTGTAGTCTGCTGGTGGATATGACAAGATGTCACAGTAAGCAGTGACAATGCACTTAAAGCGGACAGAAAAAGTCCCCGATGACCATATTTGGCAGTTTGCTGGAACTGGGAAGTGTCTGTCGCGTGTTAGCTGTGTCCCAGTCCCATATCCAGTGAGACATACGATGTGCCTTCCCGAGCCCGCCGGTGGACTCAAATTCGATTGAACGAATTCCATCGCCGTCATCTTCGACGATACAGCCCCCGCGCTTGAAATCCACCGAGATGTGGACCGTGCTGGCATTTGCATCTAAGGCATTCTTGACCAATTCCAAAATGACCCCGTTTAGATCAGTGATCGAAATGGAGGATTTGATCTTAGCAGCAACCTCTGGAGGGAGAGCTTGAATCCCTGCTCTTGATGATGCCATGATAGGAGTATTCACGAGCATCAATGTTGAACTATTAACAAACTATGTTTTCCATGGCAACGACGGCTAAGTTGCAATGATGGCAAGAACGTTGCCACTTTTTCATGGTTGTCACATTGCCCAGAAGTAATGGTAAACTAGAAAGAGCCACGATTTCTCGGAAACGAAGGTGAGAATCAAGAAGTCGATCTATTTTTGAAAACAAAGTTGATGAAGAATTCCAGACCGAAATGACATCAAGGGGCACATGACCTGCAAGGACTACCGTGCACGGATAAACAGTCAACCCGCATTGTTCTCATTTGCCTCGGCGCGAACTCCTTTGAAGCTTCACTTGTTGCCTCTGTTAAGTTATCAACACTTGAAAGGGGGTCGGTCCTGGCGTATCTCCCAAATTTCAACATGGCTACAGCCGAAGGGCCCTCACGGGCGCACGGTAATCACTCAGGAGAACATCTGGCCTTTGTGAAACACACTAATGACGTGGTATACAATAGATCGCAACGGTCGCCGTCGCCCATTCTCTAGCTGGATGAAACGCCTCGCAAGCCTCAAAGGCTCCTCTGAATCCGGCTCAAATCGCTGGTCCAACAAACGTTACGGTTCCACCAAGGGGAAGAAGACCCAGGGCAACAACAACCCTTATCCACTATCTGGGATCAATCGGCCAACAAATACAAATGGTTCATATGAAAGCAGTGAGCGTAATTGCCGAGAATCTCACTCACGGAGCGACCCGTCTCTGGTGTATTCGGGCTACGAGAACCATGTTCCTGGGACGGGCGCGAAGTCAACAGCCCCCACTATATCAACAATCGGGGACACTGCAATCTCCGAAGCAGCCTATTCCAAGGCGGGCACAATGGCGACAATAGGTGGAGGCATTAGTACAAATGGAGGAGGCGAGGGTAGCACCTTCTCCTCTCCGAACCCTTCGGTCCGGTCGTTGACCACTACCTTGACAACGGTCCAGTCGGCAGCACCCTCCACTCAGTTATACCCTGCGCAGAATGCTCCGAATAGTCAGGCACAAGGACATTCGACACAGAGCTCTGGAAACCAGCAGGTTCAATTTTCCCATCAATTCCCAACTTCGTCCTCCCCCGCCACGGCTGTGCCCCCACATCTCATACCCCACAGTCAATCCATGACATACTCTACGGCAACAGCGAATAATGTCTTGACCGATAACGCATCGATCCTCACTCTGGCTAGCTCCTCAAAACGTCGACGTAGAAATTCCCTCGATACCAATGCGTCGGTGCGTGCTCTGGCGCCGTCATCGGTTTTCGGTGGAAGTCGCGAGAGCCTGCCACTGAGTGTGCTCAGTGGGAATGTGGTCGAGCCGTCCAATACCTCTGCTTTCAATGCGCAGGGTGTCCTGAGCCGCCCCAGCATTGTAGGACTCGCTAACGCCGAACGCATCAGCGTCTACTCGTCCTCTGGTGTCATACCTATTGCGAACACCGCGGGCGAACGTGGGAGCTTCTATACAAAGCCAAGCGCAACCGCAGGTGACGGAGCTAGCATTCGCAGCGGTGCACCCTCGCATGGTCGCAACGATAGTACAGCTGCCAGCATTACCGGAGTAGGCAGCCCGCTTGCCATGGCATCTGGCCGGGTCAGTCGCAGAAGCTCCGGATGGGGAGAAATCACTGGCGACGAATCAGAAGAGAGACAATCTGGCGACCGGAATGACGAGAAACCAGCGCTGAAGCCTGACGAAAGCTTTCAAGAAGAGGCTAAGGAATAATCCTGACTTGAAGAGGTGATACTATAGACCTCAATGATGTTACGCAAACGCGGCGAAGCGACGGGCCTACTTCAGGTCTTCTTTACTTGTTCTTGCTTTTTCTATTACAATAATGAAATGACGCATGGAAATTGGATTCGGAGGGATTTGTGGGCTGATTTTGCAGTGTTTTATGCTGGCGTTTTCCTTTGGGTCGGACTTGATATCCTTGCGGTATGACTTTGCCTTTGCTTTCCGTGCATAAATTTGCAAATTGAATCGTGTACTCATAACGACCGCGATATAATTACTTTCTTTCCCAGATTGATGTGAAAACTTCCCTCCCCCAGTCCAACGTACATGATCCATTTCACTGAGTCGCAGTACGACGCCGAATAATCATCGGCATATCATACTGATAAACAAACCAAGCATCCCGATACTTCCACTCATGCTTAGGGTCAACAAGTTGAATCTAGCGCATGTTAGTATATTGAAAACACCAAAACGAACGGATCCAACCACTTACATCAAACAAGCTATAAAGCGTGGCAATCAACTTCTTGATCTCCAACATAGCCAAATACCTCCCCATACAAATCCTCCCACCACCTCCAAAAACAAAATCAACTGTATCCTTCATCCGCCGGAACCTCACATCAAACACAGCCTCACTCTCGCCCTCCCCCCTCAGCCAGCGATCGGGATTGAAGCTATCAGCATCATCCCCAAAAACGCCATAATCACGACCCGTAACAAACGGATTAGATCCCACCTTCGTCCCAGCAGGAAGATACCGTCCATCCGGAAGCGTAAAGCCACCCTCGGGCACAATACGCTCAAAAACCATAGCAATGCCAGGATTGATACGCATAGCCTCCCGAATCACAGCGTCTAGATAGGGCAAATCCCGAATCAATGCCCAAGGTGCAGGAGTAGGGAGTGATGCTGCTTCAAGCTCGGATGATAGTTTTGCGGCTGCTGTTGGCGCTTTTGCAAGGTAGTATAGTACTGCGCGCATTGTTGCGGAACTGGTGTCCCCGCCTGCGAGGATGCTGAGCATGAGCCAGTTGACGATTTGTTGGTCGTTCACCAGATCTGGGTTTGCTTGCTTTAGAGCCACGTATTTGTCTAGGGTGTGGGATACGCCCGGTGAGCCTGCAGTTGTATTTTTTGAGGCTAGTTGGGCTTGATATTCTGCTGCGACTTTGAAGGCATACAAGACGCCGGTTAGAGTTGGTTTGGGGCCGATTCGTTTAATCGGGTTTTTGTCGAGGAGGTTGTCTATCCAGGGGACTTGGGAGACCTGATTCGGGTTAGCTCGAGGTTTGTGTTGGATTTAAAGGGATAACCTGCCGGCGCGAAGTAGATGAGACCAGCGGTTGAGTCAGTGATTAGATTGTCGACATCTTTTTCTTGATCGATGAAGCCATAGTGACGGCCGAAGCTGAAGTTCGCCGTGACGTCCCAGGCGACTGGTTAACCTGTTAGTGGAGTTTCAGAGTACAGGATTTTGTAAGAATGACTTACAAAATCCGATCCATTCATCTGCTGGGCAGACTTTGTCGGCATTTTCGCCATCGACAAATCTCAGCGCAAGCTTGTCCACAAACTTGGTCAGAGTCTCGTCGATCAGGGGCTCGTATTCCAAAACCTTGGTCATGCTCCAAAGTCCGCGAATAGGCCGGATATTCCTATCATGCCACTCTTCATCCTGGGAGTTGAAGAGGTTGGATAAACGGTGACCTTCAATAAGCACGTCATTCGGTCTGTACATATCACTCTTCATTCACACTTGAATATCAGCAAAGCTTTCCATGTTGAAAAAATCAAATGCAGCATACCTTCTTCCATGGATTACGGGTCGAATAAATAGTCCGGATCAAATCAGGGTCCGAAATGCTCACGCAATTAGGTCCAATCTGCACTGCATTTCCATATTTGCGATGCAAGTCAAGATGCTTCAGATCGACACGTCCCCGGTATGTATGAATCGCACGCCAGAAATTCGTAACCTTTGCCAAGGTCGGACCAGGAATGGCCTTCAACGGCGAGAAAAATATGTCCCAAACCAGCTTTGTGAGACACAACAATCCCAAAGCGATAAGGCCCTCGGCCCACAAGCCAATAGAAAGTGTGGATAACACCGCCATTGTAGCCAAAACTGCTGCGAACAGACTGAAGTACGTGAGAGGTATCAGAAAGAGAAGGAAAACTGATGTCCGCATATACAGCAATGAAGCTGTCAGGTCAGAAGGATGCGGAGAAACATGTTCAACGGCGAGTGTTTTAGAGTACCCACGAGGGACCCTAGTGAAGTTCAAAACGAAACTCGACACCACGCTAATCAACCTCATAATACGGGGCAACGAGGTCAATGCGAAGGGCCTCGGCTCACAGACCAGTTCTGGGCTTATTATCTCCCGCCATGCGGAACTCAATGGATACCTAAACTAGTCCTTTTAGAACGGGGAACGGCGGGATGTGGAGACCAATGGTAACCCTGTGGCGCTGTGGCCCGAACAAGGCAACTGTAGTCTGTCATCTAATCTAGACTTTTGCAGCGCTTGCTCCTCATCAAAATTATCGTATAACGTCGATAGTTGCCAATTGTGAAAATATGGCTTGTTGAAGAAACGCTAAGCGAAACTCTGTCGTCGCGTAGGAAGGCCAAATAATAGCCGAGCACAGACGCCGCTCGGGCAATGCAACAGTGATCAATTATATTTTCGAACATGTCGTTCGATAGACTCGATTTCCCTGTTTCTTGATCTTCACGGGGCTTAAGGGTCTTCGGATGGGATGAGGCCTTGCATGGTAATGGGTTAGAGAAATGTGACAGATCTCATTTTGGTGCAGAAGCCTGCCTATACGAAGAGGATCCACATGATATGAGTGACCCATCTGAACCAAGAAAAACTCCTGTCATATTTCCAGATTACGTTAGTCTGTTCGATTCACAGTGAAGCTAGTGACAATGCTTAAATCTTGAGGGATTCCCCTACATGTCTTTCTACTGGGCCGCCAATGTTTGCCGGTGAGGTCTGGAATTGTCATTTGCCTTTGCATATGTGTGATTCTACAATATGACTTCGCAGCAGATGGCCTACATGGAAGAGAGCAGGGGCCCTTTGGTGCAGGGTGTTATGTGGACGATGGCGATAGTTCCACTATTTTTTGTTTGTATTCGTTTATATGTGCGGGTTTTCTTGAAGCGGGTTTTTGGCTGGGATGATTTCATCATTTTCATCGCGATTGTGAGTACATGATATTGGGCCTCTTTAGATGCATGGAAAATGCTCTGTACTGATTCTCTCCAGTCTCTTCTTATCGCATACGCCGCTGTGTGTCATGTCGCTACCCATTTAGGTCTTGGAAAGCATCTGATTGTTGTGGAAGAGAACCCGAACAATCTCATGTCAGTGGCCTTACTATGTGACATTGGCGAAGTATTGGCAATCATGGCGTGCACATTGGGAAAAACATCATTTGCAGTGACACTCATGCGAATCGTGGTGAAAAGGTGGATGCTGGTATTGCTTTGGTTTGTGATCATCACTATGAATCTAGTCAACACCCTGACAGCATTCTTTGTGTTTTTGCAATGCAAAGATCCTCGTCATCTGTGGAATCCTATGATTCCTTCCAAGTGCTGGCCTGCGGATGTTTTCACTAATTATTCGCTTTTTGTCGGAGGTGAGTAAAAAAGGACTGTTCTACATTCTACCTATATCTTAGTATACTAACTCCGAACAGCATACTCTGGTGCTCAAGACTTTGTCCTAGCCCTTCTTCCCTGGACAATAGTCTGGAATCTGCAAATGAAGAAAAAGGAGAAGTTTGGTGTGGCATTCGCCATGAGCCTAGGCGTATTGTAAGCATTTGTCGAAGCCGCTCACACCAAACGCCTCTCACTAACTTTATTCCCCAGTGCCGGTGCTGCTGCCATCGTCAAAACAACCTACCTAGTCGCCCTTTCAGCCAGATCAGACTTTACATGTAAGATTTGCAATATTTGCAGATACTAACAAGGTATATCGCTAACCTGAAATGATGTATCTGCAGGGGAACTCGCTCCATTACTCTACTGGGCCGCTGTCGAAGACGGCCTAGCGATCACGGCCGCCTCAATCCCGGCACTTAAACCTCTGTTAGTGAGCATCTTCCCTAGCTCAACAGGTGAAAACTACAATATGATATCCTATCCACTGAAACTGCCTGGAAAGAAAATCTTTGATCCTTCACAGGGAGAGACGCAGACGGATATTGGACATGAGAGTCTTCGTGGTACAGAGAGTCAGACTGCTATTATTGAGTCACAATCGCTTGGGAAAGAGGGTGAGAGTATCAATCTCAGGACGGAGGTTTCTGTTATGTATACTCGATCTCCGTGAGAAATTAGGTACGGGCTCACTCCGGGGCGGTAACACCCTCACGAGCTCGAGCCGTGCAAAATCATGGCAATTCAAACTCTAGCCCTATCATTCCCCACGAAGATGACCCACATAAAGTATAAAAATTGATATCGGTTTACGAGGCTCACATTGAAGCTATTGCAAGATTAATATTTGAGGAAAAATATCAAATTTTTCCTTTATTTTTCCTTTCTTGAGTATTGTGGCATTAAACATTGTGGCATTATAAACTGACTTCTAGAGAGCTGCTCATAATGACCTCACTTCCAGAGAGCTCTAGACGCTTCTCAAGTGCCCTGGTTCTCCATTAAGCCTACTTCAATCCTACGTACTGGTCCAGTCACGTTTCAGTACTGATTCAGTACTTTCTCAAATAAGACACAGGCGTTAGGATCCATCTCTATAATTATTGCGAGAATAGGTAGACATATTTTCTTCTTGGCATATATAGGAAGATTTCAAATGTCGAGATGGAAAGACTTTTCAAGTAGCACATATAGCCAATAGGTAGGCTTATCACCTGTATAGATATGTTATATGCTCAAATTACAATGAAGGAAAATGTCTCACCTGGGCTCATACATAAAATTTATTCTACCAGAATATATTACATGATTAATCTGGATGAAGGCTACGACGACCGTGACATATATCGGAGCCAAGAATAGCCAACAGAAATGACTTAGAGATATCTCAGACTATGGCAAGCGTAATGAGTAAGAGGGATGAAGAAGAACTGAAACATAAAATCTAATTCAGCTCTTGAACCTCCTTAACGCGCAAACAATCGTGACAACCAGTAAACTGAAAAATGCATATCAGAAGTACCAGAAATCGATGCTGTCATCAGCATCTCATCTTACGAATCTTATAAACTGTAATCTGGATGATGCTAGAATAGTCAAGTTTCTAACAATTTGGGCTTCGGTGACAGATGGTTAAAGGATAATATAGGGTATACATATAATAATGACGTATCTAAGTCATTTTGAACGCTCTAAGTCTTTAATAACCTATAAGATAAGGCTATCATTTCTGTAAGTCCCCCCCTAGAAGAGATTTCAATTTGCATTATCGGTATAACTCAACATGGCTCTGCTGATACTCAATGCACGCTTTCTACGTCCATTCTATCTTCGCTTATTGGGCTAGAAATAGGAATATTTATCTTTATTTTACTAACCTCTTCATCAAAGTTGTTAAATACTTCACCAAAAAACAACACAGCCCGGACACGGATATGAGTATTAAGCATGAAAGCCATGCGCATGAGACCACGCTTTATCCGTTTGCCAACTATACCCGTCGTCCAGCGTTTACAACTTCTAAAACCATGCCTGGACACGCATTTCTGATATGGATCGAGATATTACGCTTCAAACTGCGAATCATCCCGACTTACGGGACCTTGAAGCAGCAATATCTTGGATGCACTAGCGATTCTAAATGAATCACTTATGGTGAATAATGATTCTCTTCTTGGAATTCGCAAATATCTAATGGGGTGACTATCCGATAGACTGGATGTATTTTTTGAAAATTATTCGGGACAGGGCTACAATTACGATCGAACTGGCTATAATTGCGAAATCATTTGGCCTATGTAATCTAAATTTTGCCAGGGGAAACGTTGCTATGCAAATTCAATACTATGCGCTCTCAAGAGAATAAGGTGGAATCCGGGATCCATGCAAGCAAGGTCTACAGCTGAGAAATTACGAGCGTAAAATGCTAATCCAAGAACCGCCTTGTCGGAGGGGACTTCAGTGCGCCACATGATACCCAGGACATTGACCATCTCGGCAAGATTGGTATGAGAGTTGAGAACATCTTAAGTGGACTCATCTCAGTTGGCGAGATATAACGTGCTCACTTTGATACTTCAGACCTTGTTGTCACTCCACACTGCTGATCTGTCGGCAACGGGCGGAAATGCAAAATCCAAAAGATTTTAAATGCCTGGTAGAGGCTTCCTTTTGATCTATAAAGAAGGCTCATGGACCAGTAACAGCACAAGCCAATGGTTGTCTTCATTTAATGGGCTGAGCCGTATATTCTCTCGGTTCCTCTGATAGAATGCGCTGTATCGGCGACTTGATAATGGAGACTGTCATGTCTGAAGTACCTAAGCTCACTTTCAGGGGTAGAGATGTACTCAACTGAGGTTGTCTGGCTGCGATCTCCAAACTGCAGTGGGCTTGGTGTGCTTGTGTGCGTGTATTAGTCCCGAGTCTCTCTAGGCGTCTCAATAAGTGCTTTTTAATATGAATCAAAGTTTAGATAATTGAGCTGAGTATATCTCGGCGCTATTGTAGATGGAAGCATGACCTGTGTGAGCACTGGCGCTGGTAAGTGACCAATTATAAGATCTTTCAACTCAGACAATATGTACACTGTGGATTGAAACGAAGGTGTAGAAGCCATTACTGTGGTGTTTCAAATATCAGAGGGACACTATCTAGTCAAAAGTATTTCCCCAGCTCAGTCTAGAGGCCCCACCCCTTCATACTAAAACATCAAATTTTACGTATAATATTGCCCACCATAATTCTGCTATATACCTCTGAATGTACTATTAAATGCTGCTATATCTTCCTCTATTGATAAGCTCTAGATGTAACCACAAAGGTATTAGTAGCGTTTAAAAGCTCAGTGAGTGCCTCGGCGGGTCCACCATATTTGCACATAAACTTTCAACCCGCTCTATCGTCACCAAAGCTGTACGAATCTTCATATTATCTTCTCAAAATACTTCCCTATGGCCATGGATTGATAATAGACCTTTTTGAAGCGAGTCCGTCTAATATTGAGTGGTATATTTTTTCCAAAGGTTGGTTTTTGGGGTGACCTTACCGGACCCGAACTTGGGGAAATACTTACGGTCCCCATTGTTGTTGAAAGTTCAGGGATCTTTGGTTGTCATGAATGAAGGATTTGCTTCCTAGTAATTTGCAATGCCAGGCAGTTATCGAATCCGTTTATTTCCGATGAACTCGTTTGAAATTGAAATTCCAACTAGCTGTCTCTCAAATCTGATATGTCTAAGTTATATTTTATTCCGCCGGGCCGTCATCCCCACCAAGCTCCCAGCCAAATGACCAGTGAGCTTCCGCACGGCTTCTTACATGATTCAAAGCTCGGTCATTGCTAAGTATCTTAGTGGGCAAAACGCTTGGTAGATGTAGCTGAAATCAAAAGGGCAATTCTTGACTTGGGTCATTTCGGCTTTCTGCCAGGTCACATTCAGACCGGAACTTTCTAATTTGAATTCATTCTAGCTTGTGGCGGTAACGAGCTACCTTAAAAAGTTAGCACCATTGCAAAATTATAGGATCTTCTTTGATCTAGTCGCAAACATTTATCTGGAAAGTGCAGTTTTATTCTAACTGGAATTTTGACGTTACTTTAAGATTAAATTTTGATTTTGTAGACAAAAAAATAAACTTAGACTGGATCAATAGTCTAACCTTGAGTGTCTTGAGACTTCAGTACTAAGTAGGTAATACTTGGGACTAGGCGTTCTATATTACATTCATAATACACAACGATTTCCGAAGGATCCATTGATTTGATCAGACAAGGAATAACACGATCACTTGTACCTGCTAATGTTTCAACGACAACAAGATAAATAAATATCCCAAGAATCCAGTGAGCAACCGTTCGAAATGGAGAACCTTAGCTTGGATAATTAAAAGCCTATGCACACCGTTTCTCCGGTCAGACTACAGGGTGTTGGACACTATTTGCATGAATTAGTGATTCTTACTTCTTAGCCAAGGCAATATTCCACAGGCTACTTACACATATATCTGCACCACTTGGATTGGAAGCAGGTGGGCAGGTATTAGTAGCGAGACAGCAACCTGGATGCGGTCCACCTGTTATACAGGTCGTTGAAGCTGGACACTATAATACAGTTAGTTTTGAAGCGATATATAGAAAGATAGATAACATTTACGCAAATTCCTGTTGCCGCACAGAAGGGCGTTGCGGCGGGGCAAGTGATACATATACCATTGACACAGGCACCTCCGCCCGGACCAGGAGGGCACTAAAAAAGTCAGCTTAGCAACGATTATTTCAGTCTATCCTCGAAAGGATGTTAAAGCTTACCGATTTATTGCATTGTCCACAACTGGTCAAGCTAGTGGCTAGGTCAGAACACACTTCATTACAACAAGCAGGTAGTATGCCAGTGCATGTAGGAGTAGTGCAGGCTCCGCAATGATTGATATCCGAGCTAAAATCGGTACATGTACCATTGCAGCAAGCGGGTATCAGGCCTCCACACGGGAATGAAAAACAGTTACCGCAGTGGTTGACATCCGTGTGGAGATCTGTACATTTTCCACTACAGCAGGCAGAGTTACTGCCTGTACAGGGAGCCGCTGTACAGGCTCCACAGTGGGTTGTACTAGTCGCCAAATCTGTACAGGTGCCATTGCAACAGGCTGGTTCGGCTCCGAGGCATGGAAGTGTAAGACAAGCACCGCAGTGGTTAGTATCGGCGCTCAGATCTGTGCATGTGCCTGCACAGCAGGCGGGATTGCTACCGGTGCAGGCTGTTGCGTTGCAAGCGCCACAGTGGGCGATACTTGATGCAAGATCAGCACAGGTTCCGTTACAACATGCAGGAATCAAACCCGTGCATAGAGCCGCTGTGCATGATCCGCAGTGGAATGGGTCGGCGTTAAGATCTGTGCATATACCTGTGCAGCAGGCGGGCTTGGAACCCGTACACGGAGCAGCACCGCATGAACCACAGTGTAGAGGGCTCGAAAGTAAGTCGGTACAGTTACCGGAGCAGCAAGCGGGAAATTGACCGGTACATGGAGCAGCTCCACAACTTCCACAGTGCGTAATGCTGGTGGCTAAATCAGTGCATGTGCTGTTGCAACATGCGGGCATTTGGCCAAGGCATGGAAAAGAATTGCAACTACCGCAATGAGTTGGATTCGAGGTAAGATCTGTGCAGTTTCCAGAGCAGCAAGTTGAGGCGGTTGGCGGGCACTATGGTTATCAGCCAAGTTGGTGTTATGCTTGCCGCGAACAATACAACAAGTACTTACAGTGGTACTACACTTGCCACAATGAGTAGAGCTAGAGCTGAGGTCTGCACATGCTCCAGAGCAACATGCTGGAGTGACTCCAAGACACGGGATTGTAAGACAGGCGCCACAGTGATTAGGATCTGAGAATAAGTCAGCACATCCTCCGAGGCAACAGGCTGGTTGAATTCCGGTGCACTACTCGGCGTGTCAGATTAGAAATCTCGACTAAAATCGCTTTCCATATCCGCTTACGGTAGTACTGCATCTTCCACAATGATTGGCATCCGTCGCAATATCAGTGCATTCTCCTGAGCAGCATGCTGGTATTATTCCCAGACAAGGTGTTCCATCGCAAGCTCCGCAATGATGAATGTCAGAGTCGAGGTCACTACATATACCTGTGCAGCAGGTTGGATCGACTCCTGAGCACTTCGCGACTTTGTTAGGTGGAATTATGTAGGTAGAAGGTAAAATGGGGCTCACTTTCGATCCACAACCTCCACAGTCCGTGGTCGATGATATTAGATCAGCACATTTTCCGGAACAGCAAGCGGGTATCGTTCCAGTGCACTGCGAAGATATGCTATATTTGAGCTTTCTGCCATGAAAGTGTCATGTGATAATTCACGACTCACTGTTGGTGTGCTGCACCCCCCGCAATGCGTGAGACTCGTTGCCAGATCTTGGCAGGTACCATTGCAACATGCAGGTTGGAATCCGGTACACTTTCGTGGGTCAGAACTTTCACATATTTCTAGGAGATCTTAGGCTCACCGGAAACGCATTACAACTTCCACATTTGGTTATTGATGTGGCAAGATCCGCGCAGTTGCCAAAGCAGCAAGCAGGCTGCTGTCCAGCGCACTAGAAGAATTTTATTAGCTCGGATCTGTTCAATGTCGATGTCACGCTTCTCGACTGAAGCGAAGCTAGCTCGAATGAGTGCTTTCACCTAGCAATGACATAGGAGAACCTTGGAGGGGAAGACGAATGAAAACAGACAAATATGGAGCTGAAGTCCCAGTTCCATCGAATGAATATCTCAATATCTTACAGTATTATTGCAGGACCCGCAGCTGGTAATACTTTGGCCAAAGTCTGTGCAATTTCCTGAGCAGCAGCCAGGAATTTGTTGCCCTGCACACTAAATGATATGTTAAATAACAAGATCTTGGTTGATGGTGAAGACTCCAATATCAAAGCCAGGCTTACTGGTGCGTTGCAATTCCCACAGTTATTGGCGTCCGCTTGCGTATTCACGCAATTGAAGTTGCAGCATGTTTGATTGGTAGGACACTGTAGAGGGACCCTATTAAATTGAAATTCCATCTGCTTTGGATACGTCGTTTTCGGAGTTGGAACTTACTGGCTTCCACGGCAAGAATGGAGCGCAAAGAAGACCGTGATCATCAGTTGCGTAGGGAGTGGCCCTAACGGTTGCAACAACGGATAAACTTGCATTCAAAGGCTTTGCATCCGAGGAAACAAGTCCACTTATCAAAATTACTAGTTCCCATCAGAAATTAATAGAGAGAAAAGAAACCATCAGAAATGGAATGTCTCACCAAAGGCATGGAAAAGAAACAATCTTTGGCAGGCCATCTTTAACAATGCCAGGTATGAGATAAGGCTAATAAAGTTTCCCAGTAAGCTCCTTGAAGCAGATAGATTGAGGCTTTACAAGTTGAGAATATTTCCATGAAAATGAGAATTCTTCATATAAAGTGTTGTCTATATTACACAAATATTTCCCACATGACAGCTTCGGTGCAAAATGGGAGTTTATAATCAATGATTTCCTCCTTGATTGTGTCACTTTCCTGCTTGCGTCCGCTTCTTTACTGCGTTGGCCGAGGATAACTCTTTGGGATTGTTCTCAATTGAGGCCTTCTAATGTCTTACACCCTCGGGCTGCTTGACGGCTACTCTATAAACTTCTATTTCGAACGGGGTGTCATAGACAGGATAATGCAACAATATTTAAGTTTTAGTTCACTGCTCGACAACGTTGTGGTACGACGTTTGTTTGCTACACATATCCCCACTTCATATTTAAACTGCCGATATATTAAACTAATCAATGATGAAAATGGCATATATGCTCTCAACTCAGACTCGGCTATGTCGAGTGGGAGGGCCGTTCAAAATATATAAATGTATAAGCGGCCCGAGAGACACATGATTGTATCCCATAAGGCCAAGCTTTCAAAGATACAGGAAAAAGCCTACCAAGATATCCACTGGCAAATACCGAGTCTGTGATACCAAATCCTACTGTAACCAATGACAACGGTTGTGTCACCCGTGAGCTTCAAATAACGGTAAATATGTAGATGGTAAGAGCGACACCTGGCGATATATAGAGATCTGCCCCAATTTCGGTTTTTCTCCAAGGTGAGGACGGTGCGTACTGGCCAGTCAAAATCAAGTACTCAAAGGTGAGAGGGCCGGCCGCTCTTAAAAATTATTGGTGGTTACATAGCGATAGGTGTCTAGACGGGTTGATACCATACCAGTAGAAGGGTGTTAGTACAGAAGCTTGGCATAGCAGAGTTGGATAGTAGAATAAATCATTGTCTTCACAAGGAACAGAATTTCATTATGCGAACCATATACATGGTATAAATATGCGAAAATTATGCTGCATACAGACATTATTCATGAAGCCCACGGAACCTCGATATCGAGGCTATCTGCTATTCGCAGAGCCGAGGCTATGCACCCCTCGAGCAGGACCATACCGTCCCAACACCAACTTCCCACAAGCCAGACATTCCCGTCCCCGTTCCGCCATTGCTTCGAGTCTACGTCACTTTGTGACGGTGGGCCGAAGATCTCATTCGTCACTTTCCGGCTGATAGGAGTCCGCAGAGTCCGTGTAAACGTCACAGTGTGTTCTATTTTCGAGGGATCAATGGGAATGATAGGCGAAGTCGTGATGATGACAGAAGAAAGATGCTCATGAGTGAATTCAGTTGACGAAGAATTCGAACAAAGATGGATTCGTTCAGGAGGCGGAAGACCAGGCTCAGGGTTTATATTTCCATCCACGACCTGGCTGCATTTCTTCAACCGGTCGAAATCACGATGAACATATGCAGGGACGGAAGCGGTCGGGATAACAGCTAGCGCACTTCGAAGCGGAGAGAAGATAGCGCGAACAACATCCGGGGTAACGGCCATGATGACATGATCATACAACTTGGATTCCACGAAGCCGGTATCATCGTTCTTCCAGGTCAGTTGGGCTTTCGAGCCGACATTCTCGACCTTAGTCGCTGCTGAGGAATATCGCACATTGAGACCCTTGGAAAGTTTATCTTGAACTTTACTGACGCCACCGATGACGGTGTAATGCGGTTTGCGGAAGGTCTTGGCCTGATAATCGACGATATCGACCGCTGGGAAATTCAGTAATGCATCATGGGGACAAGTTGTCACCGCAGACATGATTGGAAGATAGTAATGCTTCACGAAATATTGTGGCAAACAGATTCTCGCCGCGTACTGGCGAAAGGTTTCTGATGGCCTTGAACCATCTCCTTGTCTAGGCTCGATGAAGAATGAACAAGCCACCATCCAGAGGTAGCAGACTAACAGGTAGAGGGCCTCGACAAGCCAGGATGCCCATGAAGATCCTCGAGGTCGAAGTGGGGGGAATTGATGGGTGTGAGATGAATGAATGAATCGCGTATGCATATCGTTTGGATTTGATTCCGAGATAGTTGAAAATGGAAAAATAAATCTTTGCGATCCATATTCAATTCCCAGATAGTCGTACATACGTCTCAGATTGTCGTAGAAACCACTTGCAAAGGCTCGCATGGGCAGATCCACCCGCTGCTCTGTCCCCGCGTTGGTCTTGACAGTGAGCGACGCAGAGTCGAGCGACAATTCTTTTTGCTACAAGGTAAATTAGAGCCAAAACCAATTAAGGTATTTTAAACATATCACCCACCTTCTCAAACACCTCCACATCGAATCTAGCACGTGGGTCGTTCCTTAATATGTATGCAGTGATGAGGCCGGCCATGCCAGTGCCAATAACGGCGACCGACTGGCGCGATTCGACCGATGACATGATTGCAACAGAGCGCTCCTCAGAGTTGCCATAGAATCAAGAAACAAGTTTGTTCCTGGATGTTGAGAGCTGTGACCGCCTTGGAATCCGATTGATCTGCAGAAACAGGCTTTGTCAGCGCCTTGGGTCTCGATCAAAATGGTTGACCCCCTTTTCTCGGTGACCAACTTTCATCATAAACTGACCCTGTTCCCATGTGACAATTTTGCATCGAGCTCCAGTTTGAACCAATGGGATTTCCCCGATTTCTGCCGCTTGGCATGATCGAAGCCAAGACCTTGAGCCTAGACATTTTGGCTTGTTTGTTCTGTTTGCTTCTAGCTCATTCGTTCCTCTTCTACAGTGCGAGCGTTGAGCTGCTTTCTACGCTGAACTATATATTCGTAATATGGAATGCGACTAAAGCTACAATGCCTTTTTCAGCTAAACTTCTGCTTTCACGATTCACCTTTCTGTCTAGGTACTTGCCGCTGGAACCCATGCCAATTCGGCGCCAGGCAAGCGCTGTTGGACGAAAGGCGCTGTGCAGTAAAGGTAAATTAAGTCAACAGAGTAAAGGATTAGAAAGCACTAGCCATACTAAGGAATGCAAGAGTTCATCTTCCATTCAAAGAGAGCTATGTGTAACACTTCTCTAGCGTAATGGCCGGTGTTTGACTCCCGAGACTTCCACTAACCTGGACAAAGATTGAATCCATCCATGGATAATCATCCATCTCCCTCCTCGCAAAATGGGAAGTTTGTCTTCTTGCACGACCACAGTCACACTTGAGACCAATTCTTTTTTCTGTTCTATATGTTCTCGGGTTCGATTTTGTATTGCGCTGCCCAGCTCGGATCACCAAATACTAACTTCAGTATCGAATGTGTCACCAAGCTCCAAGAGGTGGTTGCGTGAATGGCTTCCAGGAGAAACAGGTAATTGAATGCTCTGCTCTCGAGGCAAATTTCCTTCAACGCCATACTCTTGTCCAAAATTTTGACTAAGGACTGAAGCATGATGGCTTTTCAATACAGGTCGTTTCGTCCAGCTGGCTGGCGAAGTAGATAAACTTTCTATCCCGATTCGTAGGTCTCTCGCGCTCTTTTACATAAACGCACATCCATTCGACAGAGGGATCGCCTTTCTGACGTTCATGAATCCGTTGATCAACATGACCTTGGTGAGTATCGGATAAGTCTTGATACTGCTGGGCTGCAGATTTTCTATGAGCCCTTTTCTGAACCTTAATGGAGATTTCATTTTGAGGGAGGCATATGCGAGTCCGTTCCACATATATCCATGTCGCCTTTGTCCCGTTGATTGGATCCGCTTTGAAGAATGTATAACCCTCATAGACCATTTCATTTGACTTTTCTGCGACCGGAGCACTATTGGACGATGCATGGGGCTGTGCTGCAGAGACGGGAATAGCAATGGGTCGAATTTGTTGTGGTAGTGCCACCATGTCACCCTGGCTGTCCGATTTCAAAGAACCACCGGCAACGTCGCAAGGAGGGCCTAGAAAAGATTCTTCCTCCGTCGGCTGCTTCTGTTTCAAGCAGCCGATCTCGTTCTACGATAAAGCGCGCAAGGTGTCAATTATAAATGCACGGTTCTGGACAAATATTTCGGGAGTAATGCCGATGCTCTGTAGCTCCTTGCGAAGTTGCCTCCACTCCTCTTTCTCGTCTGCTGAAAGTGACACGGTTGACAAGGTCGACGATTCGCGCTTGCCGGTACGTATTTCATTCATGAAATCCCTCAACATTCGCTCAATTTTCATGCGATGATCTGCTCAGAATTATTAACCATATATCGATGGCCATGGTATTTGAACGCTTTACCGTATCATATTGGCATTCAGAACATTCAACCCATTGATATATGTCGTAAGCTTTGTGCTGAGATCGATCAATTCGTCGTACGCCCAGCCCATCCGTTCCCAGGTAACCTGAGTTTGAGCAGTGACACCATCAAAGTGGCCTTTCAACTTTGAAGGTCATCTAAAGCACTATGGCACAGTTACCCAATGCTTCTTTCAATCCGGGGATCTGTTCAGTATCTGTATGGACGCCCTGCGTATGCTCCTCGGTCCCATCAAGAACGGCTACGAGAAGGCCAATCTTGTCTCTGATTTGGCCAAATATCTCCGACGAGCTAAAGAGCGACTTGAAGAGAGATTTTGCGAGTGGGCGGACTGTTGTGATATTATCTAGTGGGGTAAGCACGTCAAAATTCAGCATGTACCACATTTTTCACAGTCACTTAAGGCGTTGAGGTTTGCATACAGATATTGACATTCCCATTTGCGGTGATATTACCACTGAAGATAGCGCCTCCTTGAGTATTGTTCGATTCTGACCGCTGTATAGAATCCGCCGTGTTAAAAGGCCCACTTCCACTTTAACCTGTCTGAATAACTCACATTGCCATTGTAAATCCCTGCTTGAAATCCTGGATTAAGACCACCAAAAGATATCGATGTCATTATCGCGTCAAGAAGTAAAAGACCATGTCCGTGGAGACCGTAGGCTGCAAAGGGAGGGATGCTTGCACAGCATGAGAAGAAACCGGGGGTGCTCGACTCAGCCCCGATTCCATATATCAGGTGATGCTGCAGGAGTCTTTTGAGCAGCCAGCGCATCGTCTAATGATAAGTAATTACACACTGCCCCCCGTGAGGCTCCAAGCTTGAATGAGTTAAATCGCTTACACTTAACAGAGCATTTCTACATATCGAAACAAGCGAATTTAAAAGAGGATTGGTGCATTTGAAAATAGACTTTGCAACATGAAAGGGACGATCAAGTGCTTGCATCTGTAAGACTGTAACTAGGTTCAACGAGGGCACCACGTTTCAGAGGCTTGGCATTGGCTCAACCAATCCCGAACATCAAAATAGAGCAAACCTCCTTCACAACTCCGACTAGATCCACATAAAGCTGAATGACCTCGAGGATCAGCACCAAACCTATTTGAATTGATTCATATCACACAGTATCTGAAAAATGAAGGGTTTCATTCACCGCATATTCAAAAAGCCCCGCGTTGAAACCTACGGCCTAGACCATGCCGTTCTCAATATCCAACTACCACCCCAAACAATGTGGATGAACATGGGCTACTGGGAAGTAAGCATTGAATTCCACTTTGACTTCAAGAACGTACTAAAACTCTCAGTCCACATCCGATTTCCCAGAGGCTTGTCGAGCCCTGCTTGATCAAGTCTTAGCAGCGGGTCTCTTGAAATCCCAGTCCAAGTCTGTACGGCTACTTGATGTTGGATGCGGGTGTGGTGATCAGTCACTCTACTTGACTGTCCTTCACAAGGACTTCGTAACCAAGCAACCAGCACCAGGTGGGGGTTCGGGATCAGCTTTCCAGGCTACACCGACATCCTCCCTCCCGCAATCCAGATCGCAACACGACCACATTCCACTGATCGATACATACATTGGTATCACACTCGAGCCTTCACAAGCAGCCCTAGCCAAATCCCGGCTACAGCAAAAACAGCAGGTCTCGAGTCAATCAACAAAAATATTCTGTGCCGACGCTGCCAATCCCGCAAGCTGGTCTGGAGAGCTCCAAACATCTGTAAAAGCTTTATCGACGGTCTCACATGATTCAAACACGGAGACATGGCTTCTGGCCCTCGATACAATCTACCACTTCCGCCCATCGCGTTGGCCAATTATCCGGTTCGCGCATGATACTCTACAAGCCTCATATATGGCATTTGATCTCGTTCTCGCGGATGATGTCTCATTCTTCCAAGCCCTTCTACTGCGCATTGTTTGCTGGGTCCTTGGGGCTCCATTTGGGAACATAGTCACACAAGAAGAGTATAAAGGCCTTCTTGTTGGTGTGGGGTATGAACCTTCTCAGATTGAGATGAGGGATATCTCGGACCATGTTTTTGGGGGGCTGTCAAAGTTTTTGGGTCGGAGGATTAAAGAGGCGGAACCCTTTGGGTTGAAGATGGGTAAATATCGGGGGGCTAGAGTTGTTTTCGATTGGTGGGCTAGGAGTAGGATTATTAGGGGGTATGTGGTTGTTGCGAGAAGGTCATGAAGGTATTCTGATTGGTAATTATCAGGTGATAGTATATGCAACCATCCATGTACAGTAATTATTGTATGTGCGATAATACACGTAAATAATCCTGCCTTTCAGCAGGAAGATTTCTCATCGCATCGCAACCCTAATCCACTCACGCAGCAGGCGAAGGACTCTGTGGGTTACGGAACACATTGTTAGGATCAATCTCTTCCTTAATCTTCTGCAGCCGGGGCAAGTTATCACCCCAGTACGCCTCCGGACCATCAGACAAACGAGGATCAACATATCCAGGGTAGGCAGCGTACGCCGCCTTATCACTCGTAGCGATATCATTCACACCATCCAAGAAATCAATTTGAGTCTGAGTCACATCCCCAAGCAGGTTAATAGTGTAGGTCTGCAACCAGATAAGCGCATCACGATGGGCATAAGAGGTAGCATCAGATGCAATCGTATTGGTATAACCACCCTCGAAATCGAAGATAAGGAACCAAAGTAACGTTCCCTGAGCAGTATTATCGACGTACTCAAAGAACTCGTCGATCGTCTCATTGCTCATTAGTGTCTCAGCAGTCATAGCCGTAGACTTTGAGTAGAAATGCGCTGGAATCCCACCTCCCAGTTCCAGTGCTACTTCTTCAGCCCATTCACTGACGAGTCCAAGCCAGGACTCGAATACGATTGCGCTGCCATTTGCACCGGGGAACTGGGAGCCAATGTCTAGTTCGTCATACTCTGCCTTCGTACCGAAATAGGTACCTGAGATAATCACGCTGTCGATGGCTAGTGTAAGCGTTGAGGCCAGTTTCCAGGTTAAATCTGGATTGGAGACGTAGGCTTGCCACTGTTTGAATAATGCGGCTCGCTCAGCGGTAGATCCGATTTTTATACTGAATTCGTATTGCACTGCTGTGCCGGGTTCAGGCTCTGTGCGGACCTTGAATTCGGTGACGATGCCGAAGCCTGAGGCTGCGCCTTTGATTGCCCAGAATACGTCTTGATTCTCAGTGTCGGATGCCTGGACAATACTGCCATTTGCGAGGACTACTTGCGCTTCTAGGACATGGTCTAGTGCCATACCGAACTGTCGTGCTGTTGGCCCTAGTCCGCCGATGGTGAAGTGGCCGCCCGCGCCAATCTGGGGCGATGTGCCGTGTGACATTGCTCGGCCTCCAGCGTCGTGGAGGCGTTTTGTCACGTCTGTCAAGAGTGTTCCACTTCCAATTGTTGCTTCCCAATTTGTGGTGTTCATCGAGAATTGTTGGAAGTTCTTCATGTCAATCGCGACGGCACCGTCGACTCCACCGAGGCCTAATGTCATCTGGTTAGTTTTCTTCGCCTGATTTTTATAAGGGGAATTGGTACGCACCATAGTTGCCGTAGCTGTGACCGCCACTCTTAGCCTGAACGGGATATCCATTGTTGGCAGCACACTTAACAATAGCTGAGACCTGTTCTGCGGTCGTTGGGAAAGCAACAGCTGCAGGAGTAACGGGATAGTCCAAATTGTAGACTTCCACATCTACAGCCTGATAAAGAAGATCACCAGCAAATGCAACTTTGCTCACAGCCTGCCGCAAGCAAGGCTTCAGATTATCGGCGTTTGCGACGGTAGCTGCTGCTAGAGCAAGCAGCAAAGTTCGAAGAGCCGCCATCTAGTATGATGCGGACCAATCAGGAGGGAGTCAATCAATTGTTGATGAATTCAAAATATCTTAGAAAGAGGAGTGGGGTGAGGAATGTTTATATGCGAATCCACGGAGTGGTGCCAGGGTTGTGGGGATTTATCTCCATCGACGAAAGCGTAAGCCACGGGTAGTCGGGCTTAGTGAATTTATTGTGGAGGTCACGAAGAGCTGAGCTGCCAATAGACCCGGATCTTTGTGGGTCTTTTTCGTTTAGTTGGAAAATTTGCCCAAGCCCCCCTGGTGGCATGGGCCAATGGAAAACTGGCAAACATGATCGGAAGTTCGTGGGAATAGCACTAAAATATGTGACTGTGAGCTAGTGATGCCGATCGATTGGGGGCCCATTCGGACTGCTCGGAATATTCATCTGCCTAATAATGACTGCTGATGGTTAACTACTCAGCAGGTCTTGAGTGAACACCTAAAATTGATATAGGTATTGCGAGGGACCGAAATTTTACACGCATTTTCGACGCGTTTTCATGTTGTAAATTTGGACCTGCGATCCTTTCTCCACTTAAGGAGACCCTGGGAAACCACCCAACCGCTCCTCCTAGTCACAGTTCTCAGTTTGTTGCTGTACATTTGTACTTATAAAGCACTGTTATGAAGAAGATAGACTGGGAATATAGTAAGGTGTGTCGATTTAAAACTGAACTATGAAAATCATCATTCATGGTCTTCTGCCACCCCTAATACGCAGACGCCATTTAAAATGACTCTGCTTCTCGTTGAAGAGATAAGAAACAATAATCGCTGAAAACATTATAAACAAAGAGTAGTTCTGAGATGTGATGACTCAGGATCTAAAAAGCAAAGATAACGTTTGTTTGTCATCTGTTGTCTCGGTTTTTCTTTTTTTTCTTTTTGTTCATTGCTTTACGCAATTGTGCCAACACCGTGCTTAGACTCGGAAGGACTTGAGGAGAGCTCGTTGCGTGATGCCAAGAAGCTCTTGAACATGTCGGAAATAGCCTTCTCGGACGCCTCGTTGCGCTCTTCGGTGCCGTTCTTCTCCATGATCAGACCACGAAGCCAATGGTTTTCCAGCTCAAGCTGAGAAACACGAGCCTCGAGAGCGCTGTTCTTCTCGTTGGTATCCTTGACAGTGCGCTCGAGAGCCTGCTCACGCATCTTCTTCTTCACACGGAAACGGGCACTAGCTGCTGTGTTCCGGCGACGCTTATCCTCCTCGGCGGCGTTGCCGGCGACCTCTTCAGTGGTAACCTGAGGCACCTTCTGGGTGTGCTTGCGCTTGGGACCAGAAGCAGCGGGAGTAACCGGAGACACGCTCTGAACAGGTGCGGGGGCCACATTCTGGGGCACTTGCACAGGAACAGCTGGAGCGGGGGCGGTGGTAGAAGGAACTGCCGAGAACGGCGCATTTTGCATGGGCACCGGAGCATTCACACTATTCAGGTCGGTCTGGAAATCAGTGATGTTTGCTAAACTTCCATCTGTATCGACCAATTAGCATTGAACTATGACATTAATGCATCGCGAATAGCCCGATTTCGGTGACTCGTAGTGGTTGGCCAAGGGTCCATCACGTGGTATGGCGTAAGAGCGGAGTAGATTCGCGTCTGATATAGCCAATTGCCAGTAATGCCAGGATCAGATCGGAGATGAGAAAGGCTCTTCAAGCGCCACTGCATGGTATTATCTGCAGGGCCCCGGAGAAAGAAACCGTCAGGGGTCCAATCTGAGTCCAGGTAGCTCATGGGCACATTCTCCATTCAGAAGGCGCCATATAGGGCAAAGGCCCGTGCAACGACCCCCCCAACTACCGTGCAGCAACCAGCAACCAGCCATGCCCCTCTTGAATCACCCATACACGCGTGGTGCAGGATGGTGCCATGAAGTGGCCCGATGAATGTATCAACCATGGACAGAACCCGGAACAATGCGATCCATGGGAATCGATCCCACATGAACACTTGTCCAACCACATCAAGGTAACCGATAGCAAGCGAAGTCAACGATCCAACTTACCGTTCAAAAAGTCCAAAAACTTCATATCCCCATTTTGTGTAGATTGGTCGATCTCGCCATGTGAAGTCTTCTCTACTGGGTCGAACGAAGGCAAGTCCAGATTGCCGAAGTTGTCGAAATCGAAGAATTCGGCGTTGGTGAACAGGGCCAATTCATCATCGACGTTGAAGGTGTTCTGCTGCTGTTGCTGCAGGGCCTGATCGTATGCGGATGGGATGGTATTCAGGTCGTCGAGATATTGCGAGAAGTTGGGAGCGCGGCGCCCATTGTATCCGGCCATGGTGAAGGCCTGTCAACTAGGTCGAGTGTTTCGAATGGAAGTGAGGTATTCAAGACCGTTTCGCGTGGACGGTCGTCGGACGTGACTCGGTCGCGCCGGATGCGGCTCGGTCGGGATCGTCAAATCGGTATTTGATGTCACCGCAGTGACGGTTTTATTTCGGTCGATTTATAAGCGCGTTTCTGAATATCACCGTTGTCGATTGTCGGTGATGGTGATACTGAAGAGAGGAAAGTGGGAAGGAGAGGGGATTTGGCTCCAGAATGGGGGCCACGAGTGGGTTTTTTCTTTGAGTTCAAAGTGGGGAGACAGAGGGGTGATGATTAATCCCCGAGTTCGCCTCTTGAATCATCCGTTCCATACTTTGGCTCGGATCTTACGGTTACTTAAGTTCCTTGAAACTACTCTGGTGACGAAGTGTAAGAATAAATCTGACATTGACATTCAATGGATTTGAACAAAGAGTACATGTGTTCATATTCTGATTTAATTCCCGTTGAGTGTGGAGCTGGAGCGATACCATATGGTTGAAACGATCGCACACAAAACGCCGCCGATGATCGGAGGCGAGCCCACTTTCAATCCACTGCCGGATCAGCTGCCCCGAATGGGGTAAATCAGTGAGAGCAGGCTTGCATTGTACTGTAGTAAACCGCTCACTCTCCACCTCACCTCCGCATTGTCACAATTGACGATTCTTGAGGTAATTTTGAGGCAATCAACGAGCACTCGGCCTGGGATTCCAGCGACAAACGCGGCTTCGAACCAAATGTTGGAAACCCAAGGCCTCGGGTCTGGCGGTGATTGGTAGGCCGAAGGTTTCCCTAGTTGTATTTGTAAGCTCCGGCGCAGCCACAACTGAATTTGGGACGGTTACAACGGAGGGTCATCCTGCCTTTCCCGTCGTTCCGCATTATTAATCCGGTTTGCCCTGCAGCTTTGGACAACGTATGTAGCTACGGCTCTCGCATTTTATGTGACTCGTATCATGTACAATCCCACCGTGCAGGAAAACAGTATATTGAAGAGCTGCACACCATTGCTTCTGAGCACGGACTCCACAACGGCCCGGCGGATTAGCGCGGGTTCTAAAGAAGGGATGAACGGTCTTCTCGAGCCAATATTGAGCATACGAGTCCAATCCTGTGTTATTCATGACTATCCATGGAAGGTACTGGATGATGACGGATCGGGGTTGGTTGTACATAAACAGGCCTCGGGAAAAAACTGGTTTCGGAGCTTCGGATGACCGATCTAGATTCTCTAGTGACGACAGACAGGGCATAGACTATCGGCATTTGAAAGTGTCATTGAGACTCCACATCGACCTCATATAGGACGGTCAGCCTGGCTCAATGGAGGAATTTCGAAAAGTTGGATCGGTTTTAAGCTTCTTTTCACCGTGGTTTGAACAATTCCCATTGTATATGTACATCGTAGAAGCATACCAAACCGAAAGTGGTAGCCGGAAAATCGACCCACCGACGCTCTATTTCTGGTAGCTTATCAGCACGTGACCTTTTGTTGATGCCTCGACGCCTCATATCAACGCGTAGAATCTAAATTGAAGAAAACAATGCGAGTAAACTAGCGCTGTCGACGCTCAACCATGCAATTATATTGAGCAGATACACCACGCTACCCTTCCAATTAGGTCGCCGATTTCCGCTGGTTATGGCGCGTCCAAAATCAGTTCGGGCGCCTACAACAGCCAGTCTCCCAAACAACCTCCGCATACCCTCAACTACATCGTCCTTGACAAAGACCTTGGGCAAGCTTTCCCGGCAAGCACTGCTTGATCTGGCTTTAACATGGCTCGATGATCAAAATAACGGATCCTTTCCCCCATATCTTCAACGCGAAGACAACAACAACCCCGACGATGAAGAAGCCCTACCCTACCCCGCGGCAGAAACCGTTGAAGAAGCCCGTCAGGCATACGAAGATCTCCAAGAGCGCAAAGGTGGCAAGCGTGAAGTCCTCGAAAGAATACTGGAAGGTGACTGGCGCCACGGAATCACGCTACGCCAACTCGCAATGGTTGATCTCCGCTACATGGATGACCACCCAGCAAGCCTGCGCTGGACAGCACTGGAACTAAGTCGCATAGACGCCCGACAAAAGAAATCCTCAGAAGACTGGTCCAGTAATATCCCACGCATCCAAGCTGCGACTTTCGTCAAAGCCCTGCAGCAGGAAATCGCTTCGCTGGTAAAGGCGCATTACCATTTGTCCCGCTCGTCCACACTCCCAATCACATTCCTACGCATACTCATCCTCGACTCACCTTATCAAACTCCCCGACAAACCCCTGAGGTCTTCGCCGACTCGTCTCGTGTTATCTATGTCGCCTTCCCCGATAGCTGTCCCTATATCTACACTTCCATTACGGCATCGTCTGGCTCGAAGACACCTGCGCCTTCTAGTTCTATCGCCACGGACCCGCGCAGTCTTCAGCGCTTGGTACGCGATGCCGTTCCCAGGGCTCTTTCACGGCCTCAGGAGCGATATACCGTTAAAGCTACTGCGTTAGCAGCAAAGAATCTACCCACTTTGTTAGCGCTGCGTGGTCCGGGTCGCTCGGCTGCGGCGAATGGTAGTTACAGTATTTTTGCTGATGCCGCTCTTGAAGGAAGTCCATTGGATCCTCGTCCGTCAAATACCGTTCCTGCGGAGGAACATATGCGTGCGGGACACAAACCTAGCAATTTTGATGATAAAGAGAATGGTAATGCGGACGAATCACAGGTGTCTGCGACTACGTCTAGAAAGCGTGTTTCTGGTACCATCGATCCGGCTACTTTATCGCCAACGTCCAAAAAACGGCGGTTGACTGTGGAATCCCGTTTTGGATCTGCTGGGTCATCGCTTACACCGGCACCGTTAGATCGTCTGGATGTCCGGCTTTTAGATTTGCCTGCTGGCATTGAGGATGACGGTGTGAATCGGTTGGCTGGGCCAGTTCCTCCTGTGTCACTTTCGTTCGCGGGGACCGATGTCATTGGTGGGATTCGGAAACTGGCTGAGTTGGGTGTGATTGATCCTGAGCGAATGCCATCCTGGATGACGGGTGAAGAAGCTGTGAGCATGGCTGTTGTTCGGAGAGGTCGACGAATCAAAAAAGCCGAGTGATTTTTCTGTTGTTTCCAAAATTTATATTGCATGGGTCGTGGCGTCTGGGTTTTGTTCTACGAGTTGAATTGCAGGTGGACCTTGTGCTATGATACCCATTTTGACTGGTTTGCCAGGCGAGGAATATATGCATGTCACTTTACCATCTTTATTTGATTGAAAAGCTTTTTTGACATCCTTGCAGTGACATTAGCATGTTGAAATAGCGTCAACTTTTTACTTGAAATGAATTCACATGATATGGGCATACGCATAAACCTTTCACTTGAAATACCTAGACTCGAACATATTCCTAAAGACGCAAACTTGAGTGTTCAAAAATTGGATTTGGCGTTTTTCTCTTCATTTTGCTATTTTTTCATGTATCGTTAATTTGCCTGGGTGGTGCTCCTTAACTCCTATATGCCTGTGGGTGAAATGGCGGCTAGTGAACCAGGTATACAAGTGCCATGAAATATAATATAACAAGGTATAATTGGTCTCGAGTATTGAGTCATAATGATCATAGGTAACTGGCAATGAAGGAATCCTGCACGATAAACCCCTATTCGCTTTCAAACAGAACAAATTCAAAACTCCCATGCTGCGCTGTTGATATCCATATGGAGAGCCAAGCGCCGCCGCAGGTGCAAGAAGTCCCGCTAACCTTGTCCAAGGCGCGTCAAGCTAGTATTAATAATTACCAGAATACTATTGCGGCCCATAGTAATACGATGGTCGGGCAGTTGAGAAAGGCGAGTATACGGAATAGTCTGTTCGGGATCATGAATGTTAGCAATTGCCAAGCGCATGGGTAGATTGGGGTGGGGATACAAAGGAGGACTCATACCGCGCTGAGTAGACAATCCGAACTGAGGCGCCACGTTGAGGTATCCGTCATCACCAACATTGCCGCTCTGTCGAATTGCCTCAATGTTGAGGTCGGGGGTGTCTTCTTTCCAGGTCGTGCGGCTGAAATTAGCACAGTCAGCCCAATCCACTGTCGAGTTCTTTTCAAGCAAGACTTACCAATACACACAGCGCACTCCGGCTCCGGACTTTTTAGTGGTAGCTGCCCACTGCGTAAAACAGGCCTTGTGGATATTGTTACCGCAGGCAGACTTGCACCAGACGATATCCTCGTAGGTTTTGAGCTCCATGAAGCAGATAGCACAGTCGCCTTCAATGGGCTTCCGCACGCCATCGGTGAGATCAATAGGTGCAGACTGAAGTCGATTCAGAGGAGAGCCTTGCCAGATTGTGCGGAGTTCCTAGATCATGGACAATGAGAATTCTGTCTGCATGCCAATTCATATCATGGAAGAGGACCTACCGAGGTCAAGAAAGCCAGCTGGTACTGGAGTTCTCCTGGGGCTTTCAGAGCATATACCAGGGCTGTGCAAGCCATTAGTAAGAATGAAATGTATGAATAATGACATGGAGATACAGAGTCTTCCAAAGACCGAGACATTCGAGGCTTACCGTAACAGATGTGCTTGCACTGGTTGCCACTCATTCCATCGGGACAGTCGCATGTCGGTTCCTTCCTGATGATGGTTTTGTAGATGTTGCCGGTTGACCCGACAATATCAAAAGAAATCTCGGGGTTTCCATTTACTTCAGTGAACTTGTGTCCCACAATGAACATTCTGAGTTATGTACTGTGAGCAAATGAATATTGAATGTGGTGGTTGAGATATACGAACCTCTGCAATCTAATGCGACGAATTCTTTCAAGGAAGGTCTGTGGAGCATGATCACGGTATCTTCTGGTCCGTCGCTCAACTCCATCTGAGCTTGATGATGCCTTGCTAGCTTTGGGTCCTGATGTTTGATTGCTGGTGTTCAATTTATCTTTGGCTGGTTTAACAGGTCTAGCAATGGGAGGACGACGGCGGGTTCGCTCGTTTCTCGTGCACGTATTAGGTCTTCTTAGAAAACCATCATTCAACTTTCGAACACGATTTCCAGGTGGTTTACGAGTGGCTCGCCTGCAGGCAGCCTGTTCCTGTTTGGCACGCTTTGCTGGGTCAGGGGATGGCATGTCCCATTTCCTGACTGCCCTTCGCATGATTGTCTTGATATCTGGCATTTTCGCAGGGTTTGGATAAGATTCACTCGATTTTAAGGTAAGGATCGCGCTGAAGATCCCAATGGCTAATATTTAGGTGAAAGCAAGAGTATTCAATAGCTTTGGTACACTTTTCAGATGTGAACTGGTCGAAGTGTGTGGGGGGGAGGCTGACGTCATTGGTATGAATGTTCAACCCCGATTGGATTCGAGCTCTGGATTATTCCAATGATATTAAAGAATGGAACGAAAGGAAGGAAAGGAAAGGAGAGAAGGCTTTGATGAGAAAAAGCACAAAGAAACAAATTATGACTTTGTATAGCAAACAAAAGAGCGTGATTCAACCCCAGATTGTTTGCACTGTTTGTTGCTTCCCGTTCGCTATCGCTATCGCGGCCACATGCAATCAACTTGACCTTATCATGACTTGTTGAGGATGGCCTAGATCACCGATTCCACTCTACTACTGATCTATGGCGCGTTCTCGAGCTGCGTCGGGTGCTGAGGCCCCAAAAGAGCCCCACGGGGTCTCTCTAAAAGGTGGGTAAGCTTGGTGGAGCACCGTTGCGGACAAAGCTGACGATAATCGTGGAATTCAGTATTACGGTAAAGCCCACAGTTATATGGGTGTTGCCACAGCGTGATGATTGACATCTCCTAGGCTCTCTCGACCTTCTCTTTCTTACCAATCCCCTTTACCCGCGGCCAATACCAAGATCTCCCCGAAGGCCTCACTAGGCTTCCCTTCTGTCGGTTTCGATGACCAATTTATAGTCACACCCATCGTGGGTTTATCCTCATACTTAGGCTGGTCCTGACTTGGCTAATGCAGATGTAGCTTACCCTTCCCCCGGCATTCGGTTCGGTCTACGTCGGAGAAACTTTTGCTTGCACGCTTAGCGCGAATAATGAAATTGACGGCGATGAATCCGGGCGGGTGGTGACATCAGTGCGCATTGTGGCTGAGATGCAAACCCCGTCATCCGTAGCACCTCTAGATCTTGAGCCATCGGACGATTCGGCGCACTCCAATGGCCTGCAAATCGGCGAGTCATTGCAAAAGATCGTTCGCTATGATCTCAAAGAAGAAGGAAATCACATTCTTGCCGTCAGTGTGAGCTATTCAGAGACCAGGATCGGCCAGGATTCACAAGCAGCCAGTGGCCGAGTGCGGACCTTCCGCAAACTATACCAATTTGTTGCGCAGCCATGCCTTAGCGTTCGGACCAAGGCATCGGAATTGCCGCCATTGGAAGTGAACAATAAATCGCTCGGCCCATATGGAAAAACACGTTTGGTCCGCTTTGCATTGGAGGCACAGCTGGAAAATGTGGGGGATGGAGCCGTCGTGGTCAAGGTAAGAAATCCCTCGGGCATAACTACGTCTTTCAATTGGGAGTCCAAGTCATAGCTTACGCACGCAACAGCAAACCCGATTGAATCCCAAACCACCGTTCAAATCTCAATCGCTAAACTGGGATGCTTTGGATGACTCGGCGTCGGTACCCCCGACGTTAAATCCGCGCGACGTGTTGCAGATTGCATTTTTAGTGGAGCAGGAAGAAGGTTGCCAGGAAGGCCTCGAAGCCCTCCAGAAGGATTTAAGGCGGGACGGCCGTGCTACTCTGGGCCAGTTGTCAATTGAATGGCGCGGCGCCATGGGGGACAAGGGGTTCCTGACCACCGGCAATCTCATGAGCCGGAAACGCACATGAAACACGGTGTGAGTTTGATGGAACGCTTCCGCTGTACGACGATGTGCTGGCCGAGTCCCCCGGTGCATCTAGCCGTTTTGGCTGCCGGGCACGAGTCAGCCATGAACAGGCGTGGGAACCTTGAAATTTGAACACGTACATACATTAAGTCCAATGAATCGGGATTTCATCGGGCATCCTTCTATACGGTCATTTCAGCCAGATGTGGATTCTGATTCGACTGTGGCCTATTGCTGTAAATAACAAAGCAGGGTTTAGTCGAAAACGCGTAGAGACATTGAATTCTAGAAGGTCGGTCAGGTACAAGGCTGAGGCGTACAAAGATTTGATTAGCCTAGGGCTATATGCCGAGCCGCATCCTACCGCAAGTCCCTGGCGCCACAAGCATGGGGCTCGGAAAGCGGCTTCGCCATGCAGCTTGTGTAGGAGTTCCACGGTCCAGACTCAGTGGATCTCCCATCATGAAAACTCCAATTCCAGTGAAGCCATACAAGGACCACTTTTCATATAGCTAGTCAATAGTCACAACCCATTCGACAAAGACTTGGGTATGTATACAGTAGTCTTGCCCAAGATCGGGCGTTCATGTATGAAGAGTCTAGACCCGTCACCTGATAAACGTGGATCCAGCCCACCGGGATTTTCAGCTCAGCTCCGCCTAGAGCGGGCACGAGCAATCTAGATGCAACCATGCTGTTTACCCAATAAATACCCGATAACTAACCTGGGTGATCAGGTGGAATACAAGACTTTTTTTTTTCCCCTTGTTGAGACCCGCTCTTAATTAAATCCCTAACTTATCAGCGGGCTGCATTGCCCACCGCTTCTTTTCCTGCAAGATTAAGTACGAAGGACAGGTGCAGGTTGGGATAACCTTGCCGTAGCCTGTCGCATGCATAGGTGCAAAAAGGGCTACTGGTGCATCAACACCCGACACGCTACACGTAAGGTTCTCCTGCATGGTGTTACGGAGGCGTTTTGGAACCGGGTGATAGGTCAAGAATGTGTATCTGTAGGACATAGGTAAGGGGGAGAATACCGTCTAGAATTCAGTAGGATTTTCGTCCGAAGTAACTGCTCGGGTGTACATGGTTATGCATACCTACGTACATGTGTGGACAGATGTAGTAACTTTAGGTTCGAATTTCCGGTACACTTACTGAAAATCCCAATGGAATTTCACACCCCTCAGTGAGGGCTCCACCTTTATTCCATATTTGGTAGGGATCGCTTCCCCCAGAGGCACAGGCCTCCACTTTCGTTGACTCCTGACTCAAGCTCAATTATGAAGTTCCTGGGAATGGGTTTAGAGTAATAGACATATTTAATAGTGGAATGGATACGTTGAAATACGTTTAGTTCATAGGAGGCGATCATCCTCTAGATTACCCTCCGATCCATGGATCGGACTATCTATGATTGAATGCATGGAATAAGTTATTGATATGCAGCCTTCAACCTGCGGAAGTCCCCGACAATTTGCCCTTTTTTTTTTCTTCTAGTCCCAAACCCCTTAGAAACTCCTGGAATATAGGCGACAACCCGGTGGGGAGTTGCCGTTGTAAGAATGAATGGCATCGTACCAATCCCACGCAATGGATCAGCGTTTCTAAACGCCATGTCTCACGGAGGAGCTCAATGTGACGTGACTAGGTCCCGCCCCCAAAAGTGATAACACTACCCTAACGAACTCTTCATACAGCTGATGAGATTGTCGTTTGACCGTTGAAGGATTTAAATTCCAGGGGTGCATTAGACTGGTGCGATATCGCTTGGCAAGGACCGAACTTATGCTGATGGAACCGTGGAACGGAGTCGGCCCCGGTGCTTTGGGTGAACGGTTGGATTCTGATGGAGAGAGTCCGAGCCAAGCGTGGGCAGATTGAGCTCCACTGAACCAAACAGCTAGGTGAATCGGTTGGTTGCATGTTCGGTGGAGACATTCGCGGAGGTTGCAAACCTAGGAGATTGGAAATTCATATTTATAGGGAATTGGGATATTTGCATTTATTTTTTTACTCCTCGTGCTCATAGCTAGGAATATATTGATTTTGTCAATCTTTTCCCCGATGGTCTGCAATCCCTTGAAACCGGCCAGTGACAGTGCAATGGCCTGCAGGATGCTCTCCCGTGTCAGACTCTTGTGCATCATGGCCGATCCCGTATGATAAACCCTAGGTACTGAATAGAACTCCAATATACTAAACCATGCTAAAAGTAAATGAATAAAGGTTGCCGAAAGGTGCTGAAGGTACTTTTGTCGATAGGGCTAATTAGTTATATAGTAATTCATCTCCATATCTTTATGACTTTTTTTTCTTTTGGATTCTAGTGGGGAAAAAGTTCGGGGCGTGCGTGTGCAGGAGCTAGAAAGTACTTGGTCTGTGCCGAACTAAACTGTATCCGCATTACCACTGAGTACGCAACCATCCGTAACTTATGAACTAAAGAGAGAGAAAAAAGAAATATCAGATAGTCAAAGAGTAGGAAAAAGAAAAGAAAAAAAGACGAACATTCCCCACATTCTTGCTGTTCTTTTTGTTTGTTCTTTTTTCTCTTTTTCTCTTTATGCGAATATCGTCATATTCATTCTCTCCTTTTTTTTTCTTCCCCGTCATCAATACATACACATACATCAAACCCACCCCAAAATTGATCTTCACTCCTAAACCCCTCGCCCCTCCTCCGTCCCCGAAATTCTCCCTCTTTACTCCCCAACTGTTCAAAAGTCCTCAATCGATCAGTCCGAATTCACCCTCGTTTTCTCGATAATCACACTCGCACCTTTCCTCCGCGGTTCCCCCGTCGCTTTCTCCCTCGCGCAGTTTTTTTCTATTGTCGGGCCTCTCCACACCCCTGATC